TAGTGGCCCCCAAAACCACCCGTTTAGGAAGCACCCTTGAGTTTGTACCTCAGATGTGCTGAGCATCTCTGTTCTGGACAGGCTGTTGAGACTAGAACCTATGACCTACCCCCTATGACCTACCCCCAGAGGGCCCTCAGTGACGAAGGATAGGGCGGAGCAGCAAAGGGGTGTTGATGTCACCACCAGGACCTGGCCTTCTAACCTAGAGCAATCCCCTGACTGGACCTATGCTGAGTCCTGAAGGGGATCATCCTTGACCTGGACACCCTGCTGTTCTCTGAGTGCTTGCTGGGCATGCCTCAGCCAGGTCTGGGCCAGGCCAATGGGCCCTGGTTAATTAGCATCTTCCTTGCAGGGCAGTAGCAGCCACCTCCTTGCTTCCCTGAGGCCAGATCTAGGCCACTGCCCCATTTTAAACTAGGGCAGCAGTTCCCAGATGAAAGTAGAGGAGGAACTGGTTCTTAGGCCTTGGGATGTGGCAGATGATGGGGGTTGTGCCTCCCCCTGGCCTGGGAGGCAAGCATCTCTCTCTTTTTTTTTTTTTTGTACCGGGGATTGAACTTGGGACCTTGCCCTTGCAAGACAGGTGGCAGAACCACTGAGCTAAATCCCCGGCCCAGGCATCTCTTTTTTGCAGTACTGGGTTTTGAACCCAGGACTTTGCTCCTGTTAGGCAAGCACTGTACATGCTCACTTCGGCACATATACTAAAATAGGAAAGCACTCTTTATCACTGATCTGGATTCCTATCTCTTTCTATTTTTTATTTTAGTATATGTGCTGCTGAAGCAAGCACTCCATTTTTTATTTTTTAAATTTTATTTATTTTATTTTATTTTTTGGTACCGGGGATCGAACTCAGGTCCTTGCACTTTCAAGGCAGATGGTGTAACCACTGAGCTAAATCCCCGGCCTTCTATTTTTGATTTTGAGAGAGTGTCTTTGCAGATTGCATAGGGTAACGTGGAATTTGTGATCCTCCTGGCTCAGCCTCCCAGCGCTGGGATTATAGGTCTGTGCCACCATGCCCAGTGAGAAGTAGGCACCTCATCATGCTCAGTATATCCTCTCCCTTCCTACTGGGAGGCTGTGTGATCACAGTGCTCTCTGGCTCTGTGAGGTGTCTAAGTTATGCAGCAGCAAGGAAGTGAATGTCAGTGGTAGGAGCCTCTCAGCATCACTGATTCCCATGTCCAAGGACCTAAAACAGCCTGACAGTGACAGAGCTATAGGTGTTTGCTGAGTGAGCATAGTGGGACACGAGTGAAGGTACAAGAGGCACTGGCTGGAGCATCAGTTTGCCCCCACAAGGGTCTGCAAGAGAAGGTGACCCTCAAGCAGGACCCTGGGCCTGTCACATATAGCCAGAGCCATGCTGTGCTCTGTGGCAATCTCTCAACCTCATGTTCTTTCTGAGGAGAAGCCTCAGTGCTTGTTTGTAAAAGATCCCACCCTCTTTCCAGGTTATTGAGTTAGAGCCAGGATGGGAAGTAGACTGCCCATGTCAATGTTCCTCATGGCCCCCACCATGTGCCACACACTTATTCACTGTGTGCCCAGGCCCTGGGGTGAGAAGACCTGGGAGGGCCAGCCTTCCTTGCCCTGGGATAACTTGAGCTAGTGGCTCAAGTGTGATGATCTCCTCTCTGGAGAGCTAGCCGGAGCCACAGGAACAGGTAGCCCCGGAAGATGCAGTGTCCCTGGGGCTGCTGTTGGGTCCTCCTGTCCCCTCAGAGGCCACTGGGTGTACAACCTTCCTCCCCACAAGAAAGTCACATGAAGCCTTTGTATAATTATTCACCATACATGGTGGGTTCATCAGCCACAGGGTGCAAGTGGGATGAGGGCTGACAGCTGTACCCAGAAGCCAGGTTCCCTGTGGTCACTCGGTGAGATCAGGACCCCAGGCAAAGGTGGGGGTCTCCCAACCAGGACACTGGTCCTTACCACCCCTGTAAGGGGTTTCTTCCCTGGCAGCAGGTGTTGGGTAGTGGAAATCCCCTGAATGCCTTACAAGGTCATCTCTCAACGGCTCTCGGTTGGGATGTTTGTTCTTCCTGGCCTCTCCCTATTCCTTGTCTTCTGAGCACTCAGGGAGAAGAAACTGCTGTTCTGCCCCCCAGGGAGGCCTCATCTCCCTCCCTTCAGGATCATTTTCCCAGGGCTGGGTCCAGCTCAGTGGGGAGTAGGTCAAGCTTGAATGTCTTCCATGCAGTGGATACTACCTCTGCCCTGGTCCTGCTAGGGGGTCAGTAGCACACCTTGCCGTGCACCAAACCTTGGTGTCTTCCTCCAGGACAGGCTGGTGGGTGGTCCAGTCAGGAGAGCTGCAGGTGCCCCCGGAGGGACACAGTTCTGCTTTCACCACGAATGCAGGCAAAGTGCTTTGTTGACCACAGATGAGCTCTGGACATAGTTGTGAGCAGTTTCTGACTCATGGACAACTCTGCTGAGCATCAGGATCTGCTATAGGAGGGGAGCACTTGCAATACCTCCTGTGGGAGGCTGCGGTGTTTCAGGGCTCAGTAGTGCAGGGATTGTTCCAGCACTGACACTAACCACAGGAGAGGCAAGTGTCTTGGGTGACCTGGCTGATGTGGGGCTGGTAGCTTGGGAATTCGCTTTGCTGGGTCTCTGGCCAGAACCTTAGCAGCTACAGCAGCTGATGCACTGAACTGCCCCATGAAGAAGCCACCAGCACATATGGCTATTGCTTCCCAAGAGGTGGCATGTCCGTATTGAAATGAGCCAGCAAACACAACCCAGAGATCTGGACCTCTCAGTATCTCAGTAATGCCCTTTATGTGATTTCACATTGACAGTGATATCAGATATGTGGGGTTACACAGAGTATACCCAGGTTCCTCTTACCTGTCCTTTTACCACCTTTACTGCCTTCTAGGAAACCTGAACCTGCATGGTTTGCTCTGGCCTGAGTCACCCAGGCTTCCTTAAAGGGCCAGATAGAAAACACTTGAGACTTTTGGCCCAGGCAGTTTCCAAAAGTAGCCACAGGCAACATGTAAACAAATGAGTAGGGCCATGTCCAATAAAAATATCTGTGGATACTGAAATTTGAATTTTGTGTAATTTTCACCTCCTGTATTCTTTTTCTTTTTTTCCCCCAGTCACTAAAATATGTAAATATGTAAAAGGGGCTCTTGTTGATGGGCTGGTCTATGTTCTGTGACCCTGCTCTGTACCACAGTGTGTTCACTGTCCATTTTGCCTGTGGGGGAGGCCTGAGCAGGCACAGGACTTGGCCAGTGGTGCTCCATCCCACCCAGCCTCTTGGGAGAAAGCAGCCCCTCGCACTTTGAGAAGGCCATCAAGTGAATGTTATGACTACAGGGCGGACTCTATTGGTTCTGATCAAAGCCTGATGGCGAGTGGGTACAGAACTGTTGGCCCAGTAGCCTGGAGTGTTGCAGAAGGGCTGGGCTCATTGCTGCTAGTCTTCTCAGGTGTTAGGTGCTTTTATTTTTTTTTAACAGTACTGTACTGGGGATTGAACTCAGGGTATACTAAGCTACATTCCCAGCCTCTTTATTTTATTTTGAGACAGGGTCTCACTGAGTTGCCCAGGCTTGACTCAGACTGGCAGTTCTCCTGTTTCACCCTCCAGAAAAGCTGGTTGTACATAGCCATGTGCTGCTGCACCTGGTTAGGTGCTAACTCTTAAAAAGAACCACACAGCCCATCCACCTGTGGTGTGGAGAAGCCCCCCTACCTGGACTGCCCCCAGTTCCACACATACCTGCTTCAGTGTCCTAGGAGCTTGTGAAGAAGCCAGGGTGGGCTGTTGGTGGGTAACAGTGAGCCCAGGGATAGGGACTACTGGGATTAGGCCTGCCTGTCAGCCAACAATCAGAAATGGAACCTGGATGCCCTCCTCAGCCCAAAGCCCTGGCATTGAGGCTCTAGTAACCCAGGCAGTCCATGCAAGTCAGCTTCCCTGTCCCAGAACTACCGCTTGTAGGCCATGTTTGGTCTCTGCCTCCTTGGCCAAGGCTGTAGGATGGCTGCTCTTGTTGTGCAGATAGTCCACCTGCTGAGGCCACAGCCAGGCTGTGCTTCCTCCTGGTCACCTGGGCAGTGTGAGTCTCTCCAAGGGAGGCTGAGGGACTGGCCCAGGGCAGTGGGTTTGCAAGGTTGGCTGCTATCCTTCCAAAAACACAGCTTAACCCATGACCTCTGTGTCTTTCTCTGGCCATTGATGGTTCCAGCTACCTTTCTCTGAGACCCCTCTGTGGCTTAGACCACCAGCATGCCCCTTCATTTTTCCTTTTCCTGTGGTTAAACTTTCATTTTTTTTTTTCCTATAATAAGGCAAAACTGTGTGATCTCTTTTCCAACTAAGGAATAAAACCCCTATGAAAACCAGAGACAAGTGGTGTGGGTGTTGCTGGGTATTCAGAAGCAGGGTGGGATGATGTGCATTGTGGGAACCCCAGTACACTGCGAGCTAGTACAGCCCACCTCTACCTGCTGTGGGCCTCACTGTGAGAGGAGCCCTATGGTGCTGAATAGTTGGAATCGAGCCCTGGGTCCCTGCATCTTGTTCTCCCCTTGCCCACCACAGGGTGCTCAGCATGCTGGGAACTCTCCCAGGGCCTGGGACTTTGTCTCTGTGATCACACTGTTTCTTCTCTCTTTTTATTCTCTCTCTCTTTGTTTATTTTTGTTATGTCACTGACCAGCCAGCCGCCCTGTCTCCGCCGTGGGCACTCTGCTCTCTCCATGCTCCCGTTCGTGTGTTGCCGGCCAGAGGTGACCAGGCCCAGCTCTCAGCGTGGCCACTGTCAGGGAGGCCATGGGGAGCTCCGCCTCCTCCCTGGCCACCGAGACAGAGTCAGACCATGGCTTCCCTAGGGGGCTGCCCTACCCAGGGACCCCAGCAGCGGCTGGGTGGTGTAGGAGTGGCCCTGGGGCCCCCGTCTGGGGGAGTGCCCTGGTCACCAGGCAGCACCCACGCCCCCGGGCCCGAAGGTAAGAAGGTGGGGAGGGACTGTCCCAGAGGGGTCTTGGGCAGGAGGCCTCTTTTTCAAGGTGTCCCTCCTTGGCAGAGGTGCTTGCTCAGAACTGGGGACCCTGTCTCTCAGGGTTTTCTGGCAATTTATTCCCCACAAAATGCAAGAGCTGAGAGGCTCTGGGCTTGTTTCCACTCTTGGCTAAGCAGGATCCCTCCTCCCAGACCAGAGTATGTCAGCACTGTCCCCTATTGGGCACTTCTTTGCCATGGCATACCATGCCTTGCAGAAGCTGCCTGGAGACCCTCTTGGACCAGGAAAGCTGCTGACCCCAGCCCTCATGACTATGACTCCCACAGTCTGCCATCTGCTGGCATGGTGAGAGGACCAGCGTGGAGCTGTGGGCAGCACACAGTAGACTGGACTCCTCAGGGGGCTTTGACGTAAGATTTGAACTCCTGGAGATGAAGGACATGAAGGTGTCTTTGAGGCTGTGGGAGAATCCAAAGTCCTAAGAACTACCCTTGTGAATGGGAGCTGAAATCTAGGGAGGACAGGAGCAGAATAGCAGCAGAGACCAGTGAGAAGGGGGGTGGCCAGGCCTGGTGGCTGCACACTGCTTTTCCTGCACATGATGGTGTTAAGAGTGCATCCGCAGAACCTCTCCATACTTTGTCACTCTGGGGAACACCTCTATGTGTCTTTTCAAATAGCTTTATTGAGATATGGCATATCCCATCAAATCACCTGTTAGTACAGTCATTTCCAACCAGTTTATAGCTTTGTTCAGACATCCTCACAAACCAGTTATAACATCTCTGTACTCCAAAGAGATCCTCCTGCCTGTTTGTAGTCGCTCCCTCCCTATCATGGTCCTAGACAGCGACTAACCTGCTGCCTGTCTATAGGTTTGCCTTTTCTAGAAGTTTCACATAAGCGGAGTCATACAGTGTGTGGCCTTATGATCTGGCTGCTTTTACTCAGCATAATGCCCTTGGGGTTCATGCACATTGCAAATGTGTCAGAATTTCATTCCATTTTATGGCTGAATAGTATTGTATTATAAAGATACACCACCTCTTGTTTATCTGTTCATGGGCACTTGGCTCGTTTCCAGTTGGCTTTTATGAATAACGCTGCTATAAACATTTGCATTGAAGTTTTTGTGTGGATGCATGTTTTCATTCATCTTGGCTAGATCCCTAGAGCAGGGTTTGTGTGGCTTTCGTTGCACCTGTCATACTGCTTTCAAAGAGGCTGCACCACCTCACATTCCTGCTAACAGTGTGGTAGTGGTGGTGGTGGTGGGGCTCTTGTGTCTCTCATCCTGAATGTGCTTGTTAGCGTCTGTCTTTTTGACTCTAAACATCCTAGAGGATACACAGTCGTGTCTAATTTGGTTTGATTTGCATTTACCTGATAGCTAATGGTATTGAGCATCTTGTTTTGTTTTCATCTATCCACTTTTTAAAAAATTTCTACTTGTATATATCCTAAGGAAAAATTGTTAGGAGTAGAATTACTAGGCCCAGAGTCTGGCTGTTTATATCTGGACTGCATTCTGAGAGTGTCACAGTGACGGGCAATGCCCACATTGAGTGTCACCACACGTTTGTCAGGTAGGTGGGTTTGCTACTTTTATTTTTTACTAAATTGATGTTTGCAAAAGAAAGTTCAAGGTTTTTAAGCCCAGGACTATGTTTTCCCAGTCACATTTTAAAATTGTAGGGGCTGGGGATGTAGCTCCACGGTGCTGCACCTGCCTGGCAAGAGTAAGGTCCTGAGTTCAAATTCCGATACCAAAAAAAATTTTTTTTTATCTAGTATAATTTTTTATTATAGAAATTCTGCACTTTTAGTAAAAATTCAAGCAGTACAAATCAGGCTTGGTGACCCACACCTGTAGTCCAGCAACTCAAGAGGCTGAGGCAAAAGTATTACAAGTTTAAGGCCAATCTGGGAAACATAAGACCCTGTCTTAAAATAAAACTTTGAAGAGAAAGGGCTGAGCATGTAGCTCAATGGTAGACCACTTGGCCTACAATAGGGTCAATCTCCATTAGTACAAAAAAGAAAAGAGAGAAGGTGGGAGTACAGAGGAATATAAAGAAAAATATTTTTCTCCTTCCCATTTTTTTTGGTGGGGGGTGCTCAGCCCCTGGGCTAGAGTCACAAACCTTAAAAATACCTGGGGACTCATGCTGCACTTATCTGGCCTTTCTTGGGACTGTTGGGAGGAAGAGTGGTGGTGGCTGTGGTTCTGGCCACAGCAAGGAAGGCTGGAGCCTTGGACCAGCAGAAGTGAGGAACAAGTCCTGTGGGGTTTGCTAGGCAGGTCCCTCTTATGGCGTGAGAATGTGTTGGATTTGGTTCTCAGGCGGTTGCAGGGTTACATTAAGGTACCTTATGACAGCATCACTGGCATCCTGCCAGGCCCTCCCCTATCTGTGCCCTTGACAGCCCTGGCTTGTTCCATCACTGCTAGTGGCCCTGGGCCTTAAGGCTATTACTTTTTTTTGGTACCAGGGATCAAGTTCGGGACCTTGCACACCCAAGGCAGGCAGCAGAACCACTGAGCTCAATCCTGGCCCAAGGCTGTTACTATTTGACACATAATGGTGGGCCCCCAAAACAAGAAGGACGAAGTGCTATAATGACCTTGAGGATCCACAGCCAGCCAATTGGAGAGGGAACTGTGGAGAGGAGCTGGGGTTGGCATATTTTGGGGAGAGCAGCTGTTGATACCACACCAGGCCACCCTGCAAAACCCTCTCACCCACATGTGTGTGCACACACCTTCAGGGCAGTGAGGTACAGTCATGGGAAACAGTCTGCAGACCTTTCCCAGCTCTGATAGGGCACTGGTGGGCCAGGAAAAGTACAGGGCAGAAATTGTTTCTGCAGAGCTGAGTGCACTGGCTTCATGCCTGTTAGATTCTCACCACACCCTCAGGAGCACAGATGCTATCCCTCAGGCCGCCGCCATGTATGGGTGAAATGGAGCTCACAAGTCACCTAAGTGGGGAAGACCACGTATGCTATGCCTCTGCCCTCTGACCCACTGGCTCACGAAATACAGGAGCCCTCTCACACTCCATGTCTCACCAGCTGCTTCATCAGTGAGCAGCTGGTTTAGCATTGGCTGTTGATAGACAGAGACAGGAAGGACACACCGTACCCTAGTCTCAAGCATATAGTCCACCACGAGCACAGGGACAGCTACTGAAGTAAGCCTGGTCCCTGGGGTGCAGAGCTGGCAGGTATGGCCAGTATCCCTTGGTGTGGCCTACTGGGCCAGCTGCCTAGCCCCAGAGGTCTGGTGCCTTTGACCAAGGTCTTTGGTGGGACACCACTTGCTGGCTTAGTTTCTCAGTCAGGGAAGGTCCTCTCATCATAGCAGGATGCAATGACCTTAGTTTCCCCATCGGTGCTCACTTCCTGGCTTCTTCAGGTGGGCTTTGTCATATGCCCCATGAGCTCACAACCTTCCTTCCAAGTCCAACTGTGTGTTGGTAGCACCCAGGAAACAGAGGGCAGAGGAGTCCTATGCCAGATTTTCTGGCTTTTGCCTTGGTCTCCCTCATCATAAGCTAGTCCCTCTAAAAGAACAACTCCTGGGGTCTTTGGCATGGCTGCCTCCAGTCTGAGTTTGTGTGCTGCAGGATTTGGGAGTGCCTTGTTGAAAATTCTGAAGGGCCTTTAAAAAAATTTTTTTTTTTTTGGTGCCAGGGATCGAACTTGAGACCTTGGATTTGCGAGGCAGGCAGCAGAACAACTGAGCTAAATCCCCAGCCCAGCATTGTTTTTATTTAAACCTTCTCAAATGCTGACAGAATCTTCCTGATTTGCCACATCTATCAGGACAGCTTTGACACCTGTCATGTCCCCCTACCCGTGTCCTCCCAGGTACTGTCTGGGCAGCAGATGCCATGCTTTCAATCCATCTGAGCCCAGGCAAGGCACTGACCATACTGGCCAATTCTGGGGCCATGGGAACCTGAACTCTCTCCTCTCCAGAATTTTGAGGTTCTTCCTCTCAGTCTGGGGCCTGAGACCAAAGCAGGGCATATCCTGGGGGACCTGGGCCACCTCTCCTGGAAAGCCGATGAGCCCTTCTTTGCATGAAAAGGACAGGAGAGGTCTGGGCATTTCCAGGCAAGTTCCTTTGGTTTTCCAAGCACAAAAGCCCAGGTCTAGTTCACCATATACCTCTGCTACCCCAGAGTTCTGCAGAGCCCCTCTTTTTTTTTTTTCTGGTACTGGGGATTGAACTCGGTCCTTGTGCTTTCGAGACAGATGGCATAACCACTGAGCTAAATCCCCAGCCCTGCAGAGCCCCTCTGTCTACTCAGGCCTTACCCTCTGTGGACACAGCCATGGGCAGGTCAACACCCCTACTTTGTGGGCCAAGCATATCTCTGGCTGCCCTTCATAGAATCAGCTCTGGGAACCATTTGTGTTGCTTGGGGAGATTTTGGGGGGTTTGTTTTTCCTGAAGAATGAGTTTTCTTTCTTCCTAACTAAAAGGATTAGAAGTACAAGCTTTGGGCTTTGTTGTAAAGAACAATTGATTTTCCTGCAGCCCAAGCCTTAGTAAATTTAAGAGATGTTGTGGAGTGTAGAGAACCCCTTCCTCAGCCCAGCCTCACCCTATGCTAGACATTGGACCTAGAAATCCTCTGCCTTCTGTACATCCTGACTGCTGCCCAGTGCCCCAGCACCTCCTCTTCCACTGAAGGAGGAGAGGCCCAGGAACGTACCCAGTTCTGGGGCTGCTGGAAGCCTCCCCTTCACATACTACACTTTGAATCTGGTCCTAAAACCCAGGAGGGACATGTGTCCTGTCCTCAGGATAGCAACAGGTCCAGGCCTTCTGGCCATGACCGCTAGCCATGCCCACGCTGGCTGTGCTCAGGCAACCCTCCTGGACAGGCTCCGTGCAGCTACCTAGGACCCACCACTACTCTGCCACAGCCCCATCCAGGTCCAGGATAAGGGCTTAGGAGGTCTACCATGCCCTCAGTGAGCAAGGAAGCCAGAATTGGGGATTGACTTTAGGTAGAAGCTTTGGACCCTCTGTCTCTAACAGCAGCCCCTCTACCTATATGAGCTCATGGAGAGCGTAGCCTGATCCTGAGTTGGCCACACTCTCCACGTCACCAGCTCCCCCACTCCCAGTTGCCCTCCCTGGCAGGGTGGTGTCATGACCACAAGCCTCACAGGGGTCTCGCTGACCAGGGCCTTCCCTTGCAGCCACACGCACTCACCTGGGTCTATGGCCACAGTGGGGGAGTGGTCCTGTGCACGTTGCACCTTCCTGAACCCGGCCGGCCAGCGCCAGTGTTCCATCTGTGAAGCCCCCCGGCACAAGCCTGACTTGGACCAGATTCTGCGGCTCAGCGTGGAGGAGCAGAAATGGCCCTGTGCTCGCTGCACGTTCCGGAACTTCCTGGGCAAAGAGGCCTGCGAGGTGTGCGGCTTCACCCCTGAGCCTGGCCCTGGGGCCACCTTGCTCCCCATCATCAATGGGGTCCTGCCCAAGCCACCCACTGTCCTTATGGAGCCAAAGGGCAGCTGCAAGGAAGAGGCTGGCCCAGTACAGACAGTGGGACTGGGGGCCATGGAGCCAGCCAGGGGGCACCCTGAGGAGGAGGAAGCAGAGGAGCTGGAGGACCCAGAGGAGGGGGCAGAGCCTAAAAGTGGCTGGGCCTGCCAGCGCTGCACCCTGCACAACACACCTGTGGCCAGCTCCTGCTCTGCCTGTGGGGGTCCCCGAAAACTGTCACTGCCCAGGATCCCCCCAGAGGCCCTGGTGGTCCCTGAGGTAGTGGCCCCCTCAGGCTTCCATGCTGTACCTGCCCCTACCCTGCCGGTCCTTCCTGGGGAAGGTGCTGAGGCTAACCCTCCCTCTACCAGCCAAGGTCCAACTTCTGCTAACCAGGAACTCCCCAGGGTACCGCCCTTCAGCCCCTTCTCATCCACCCTACAGAACAACCCTGTGCCCCGAAGTCGCCGAGAGGTTCCTCCCCAGCTGCAGCCACCTGTGCCTGAGGCTGCTCAGCCTTCACCCTCCACTAGCTCCAAAGGCTGGGCCGGGGCTGGGGCTGGGTCCTCCCGCCTAGCAGAGCTGCTGTCAGGCAAGAGGTTGAGTGTGCTGGAGGAGGAAGCCCCAGAGGACAGGCCTGCCCGTGGTGAGGCCTGCAGCCCGGCCCCAGGCAGTGATGTCATTGACCTGGCCGGTGACACCGTACGCTACACACCTGCCAGCCCCTCCAGCCCTGACTTCACCACCTGGGCCTGTGCCAAGTGCACACTCCGGAACCCCACGACAGCCCCCAGGTGCACAGCCTGTGGCTGCTCCAAGCTGCATGGCTTCCAGGATCATGGTGAGCCCCCCACCCACTGCCCAGACTGTGGTGCCAACAAACCAGGCCCCTGTGGCAGCAGCTGTGGACGGGGCCCTTCAGCCCATAAGGCCGCCCGCCTCCTAAGTGAGCGCACAGACGAGTGGGCCTGCCCTGCCTGCACCCTACTCAACACGCCCCGGGCCACACACTGCGCAGCATGCCACACACCCCAGCTGCTGGTGACCCAGCACCGGGGGGCCACGCCCCTGAGACGCCGGGAAAGCATGCATGTGGAGAAGCGGCGTCAGACAGATGAGGGCGAAGCCAAGGCTCTCTGGGAGAACATAGTGGCCTTTTGCCAGGAGGTGAGTGGCCCCACTTATGTCTGCTAGTGACTGAGATGTGTGATAGTCTCCCCCTTGCCCAGGAGCATCCCTGAACCCTTCAGACATGTGAATCCACAGAGGAGCACTGTGGGGCTGCTAGGGGCTGTATGGAGACTGTTGAAACTCGGAGGTGGAGGAGCACTGGCAGCCAGGCAGGGGCCAGGGGCAGGTCAATACTGCTGTCCTCCTAAGCCTGGCAGTGGCAGCAGGCTGGCTTAGGTCCTCTTAGCCCTCACCTGCTAGGCTGTACCCTCTCCCCAGGTACACACTTGCTGCATTCAACCTGTCACCAACTGTAGTATCTTGATCAGGTGACTGTGTCCCCTACACTCACTCAGGGTCATCTTGACAGTGAACCCTCTGTATAGGTCAGCTTGGCCGAGTACAGAAATCTGTGGTCCACACATAGTACCCCCCGCCAATCCTTGTGGGCCTCTTCTGGGAGGGTGGGGTCATCCTGGTAGAGTGAGGTCATCCTGGACCAGAGTGTACCCCATTCACCCAGCCTGAGTGTCTGGCTGTGATCCCTGCAGAACAGTGTGAACTTTGTAGATGACAGCTTCCCCCCCGGACCTGCATCTGTGGGCTTCCCCATGGGCGACAGCGTCCAACAGCGCGTGAAGCAGTGGCTACGGCCCCATGAGATCAACTGCTCCGTCTTCAGGGACCACAGCACCTCGTGGTCTGTCTTCCACACACTCCGGCCCTCAGACATCCTGCAGGGGTTACTGGGGAACTGCTGGTGAGCTCCAGGCACCTGCCCAGGGCCAAGCAAACCTGGTGGAGGCTGGGAGGCCACTGGTCTGGCCATGGTCCCCTGGTGAGGCCACCTGGTCCACACAGGTTCCTGAGCGCACTGGCAGTGCTAGCTGAGCGGCCTGACCTAGTCGAGAGGGTGATGGTTACACGCACCCTATGCGTGGAAGGTGCCTACCAGGTTCGGCTATGCAAAGATGGCACTTGGACCACAGTGCTGGTAGATGACATGCTGCCCTGCGATGAAGCCGGCTTCCTCCTCTTCTCGCAGGTGGGCCCATGTGGTGTAGGGTGGGGTGGGCAGGCTGGGGCTGCCTTGTGACTCCAGCCTTTCCCTAGGCACAGCGGAAGCAGCTGTGGGTGGCTCTCATCGAGAAGGCGCTGGCTAAGCTGCATGGCTCCTACTTTGCCCTCCAGGCAGGGCGCGCCATTGAAGGCCTGGCCACGCTCACCGGTGCCCCCTGCGAGAGCCTGGCGCTGCAGGTCAGCTCCACTAACCCCCGAGAGGAGCCTGTTGACACTGACCTCATCTGGGCCAAGATGCTGAGTTCTAAGGAGGCTGGGTAAGAGGGGCAGGTGCTGCCGAGGCCTGCAGCATTGGGAGGAGAGGCAAAGTGAGTGGTGGGAAAAGCAGGGGACAGCACCCTCTGACTTGCACTGGCTACAGTCCAAAGGCTTGGCCAGGACTCTGTCCAGGTGGGGCTGGCACTGCCATTCTGGGACAGCCACATCCTGATCTGGCTTATGGGAAGAGCCAGTGACCACTGCCTCAAGCTCAAAGCCTACTGAGGATCCTGTAGGGTGGGGAGTGTGTCTAAGACTGGTCCTACCTGGTCAGCATTCTGAGCCTTGACCCCAGGAACCTGTGGGGGAAAGGAAAAAAAATACCTGTGGAAGGGTGCAGATCCTGCAACCCACCTGCCCCAGCTGGATCCAGGGTGGAGGGCCAGGCCCAAACTTCCTGAGCATGTGTCCTCCATGGGCAGGGAAGGGCCCCCACCTGCTGCCCCTACCCACCTCCCCATCAGCAAGGGCCACTCTGCTGCACAGGTTCCTCATGGGTGCCTCCTGTGGGGGGGGCAACATGAAGGTGGATGAGGCTGCTTATGAGAGCCTGGGCCTACGCCCCCGCCACGCCTACTCCATCCTGGACGTCCGTGACATTCAGGGCTCCAGGTAGGACCTGGTGATTGTGGTGGTCAAGTGTGGGGACACAGGTGGAAGCAAAGTGCAATCATGACTCTCTGTCTTGTGGTCTGCAGGCTTCTGCGGCTCCGGAACCCTTGGGGCCGTTTCTCTTGGAATGGCAGCTGGTCTGATGAGTGGCCTCACTGGCCAGGGCACCTGCGGGGTGAGCTGATGCCTCGGGGAAGTAGCGAGGGTGTCTTCTGGATGGAGTACAGTGATTTCATCAGGTACTGTACACCCTAGCCTGCCCTTGGATTAGTACTTGGGGAAAACTATCCACCCTTCTGCTAACCTTGATCAGCTTAGCTTCTGTGTATCCTGGCTCTGGCTGGGACTCTCAACCACAGCACCTGGGTTGCCCTTTAAATCTAGGTCTGTACAGGGCAGCCTGGGCCTGGTGTCCCTGGTGGTATCCAGGGGGCTACAGCTAGAAAAGCACTTCCTGGCAGGGAGAGCCTTTCTAGAGAGGTCCCAATGGAAGACCAGGGCTGCCTGCCCAACAAACAGCAAGGCTGTAGGCCAATGCTAGGAGCCAGACAGCAGAGGCCCGCAGGTATGGGCACCATGTCCTGGAGCTGTAGTATCAGTATACCTGTCCTCACATCTAGGTACTTCGACTCTGTGGATATCTGCAAGGTACATTCAGATTGGCAGGAGGCACGGGTGCAGGGGAGCTTCCCCAGCTCTGCCAGCGGGCCTGTGGGAGTAACAGCACTCACTGTGCTGGAGCGTGCCTCGCTGGAGTTTGCCCTCTTCCAGGAGGGCAGCAGGTGGGCAGTGGGAAGGGTGGTATGCTGGGCTGAGGCCTATGGCCACAACCATATAAACCCCCAGCCTATTATCTTCGGCCTGCAGGCGCTCAGACACAGTGGACAGCCACCTTCTAGATCTGTGCATCCTGGTATTCCGGGCCACTTTTGGCAGTGGTGGCCGCCTGAGTCTGGGTCGCCTCTTGGCCCACAGCAAACGTGCCGTGAAGAAGTTTGTGAACTGCGATATCATGCTGGAACCTGGCGAGTATGCTGTGGTGTGCTGTGCCTTCAACCACTGGAGCCCTGCCCCACCAGGCCCCCCCGCCACGCAGGGTAACAGCCTCCCTAGACCACAAACCCAAGCTTGCCTCCCATCTGGGAGGCCTGCCAGCTCCCTTACTCATGTCCCCCTACAGCCTCCAGTCCCTCAACAGGCATCCCCCGAGGTACCCCTGAGCCTCCCGGCCACGTGCTTGCAGTATACAGCTCAAGACTGGTCATGGTGGAGCCAGTGGAGGCACAGCCGACCACATTGGCTGATGCTATCATCCTGCTCACTGAGAGCCGAGGCGAGCGACATGAGGTGGGTGGAGTTCCTCCCACGGGGAGGGCAGTGGGGGCATCTGCGCAGCCTGGCCCCAGCCTATATATGGCACCTATACTCAGGGCCGTGAGGGCATGACCTGCTACTACCTGACACATGGCTGGGCTGGGCTCATCGTGGTGGTAGAGAACCGGCACCCCAGGTCCTACCTGCATGTCCAGTGTGACTGCACTGACAGCTTCAATGTGGTATCCACGCGTGGCAGCCTGCGTACCCAAGACAGTGTACCACCTCTTCACAGGTGGGTGTCCCTACCCCAGACCCCAAACCTGGCTTCCCACTGGTCCTCACCAGCCCCCTCCCCCAGGCAGGTCCTGGTGATCCTGTCCCAGCTGGAGGGCAATGCTGGATTCTCCATCACACACCGCCTGGCACACCGCAAGGCAGCTCAGGCCTTCCTCAGTGACTGGACAGCCTCCAAGGGCACCCACAGCCCCCCTCTCACACCTGAGGTCGCCGGCCTACATGGGCCCCGGCCACTGTGACCACTGCGCCCTTGGGCGGGGGCTTGTGCAGACTGCCCACCTGTCCCCCACATGCACTTTACGAGGGAGACCCCGACGAAGGACGCTTGAACCAGAATCTCAGGACCCCCGCCTAGGGAGCCGCCAGCCACAGCTTTCCCTGGGCCCTCCCATGCCCTTCTACTCCTCCCATCCCTGAGCACCCTCAGGCCCCTGGCCAGGCTCCCGGCCACTAAGCAGAATACCTCGAACCAGGTGGGCCATTTGCCAGCCCCCATGTCCTGCCAGCCCCAGGGACAGCATCCAACATTGGAGACCAAGCCAAGCTGGCTCATCACCCTAAGCGTGGGGCATCTTCTGCCAGGGAGAGGTAGCCAGGAGCTCTATTCACAAAACCAAATCTGGGGGTCAGAGGCTAGAACCCTGTGGTAAGAGCCAGGACTACCCTTGGCTCCAGGGTGGCAGCCTCTCCTCAGTTTGCCCAGAGCCTGGCTCCCACCCTGAAGAGGCAGGCAGGCAGGGTCCCTGGAGCCCTGGTGTTTGAGCAGCATGTCCCAGGAGGTGAATGCCTGGTAGCCACAGGCCAGGGCCCCTCCCATGATACTATGCAATTCCTGGAGCACATGCCAGGATTGAAGCCATGACGGGGCAGCAAGCTGCTGTCTGGTGGGGTGCTTTGTCTTCAACAGCCCTGACTGTGGCCAGGCAGGCCAGGGTCCAGAAAAGGCCTGGACCAGCCCCGTCCTATGGCCTTCACCTAGCCACAGAGAGGGATTCTAGCTCCGTCACAGGCACAAGGCAGGCCACAGCCACTCCCCCCAAGAACCCCAGTGAACTGAGCCACCCACCTGCCTGGCATCCCCTTGCTGCTTGAAGCCAGTCACCTTGTCTGCCACGTGGACATCCAAGTCCAGCTTCCTGGGTTCCCCGCCCAGCCACCACTGTCCTGCAGGCAGCCAGCCTGCCCATAACCCTTGAATCTTGTGGGGTTTGTAAGGTTTTTACACCTAGAAACACATTCCCCTCTCCCCCCTGGGCCTCCTTTTATTCTGAGCTGTGAATATTTTTAACCCTGTAAATATGGTCAGCTCTCCCGACACAGAGACCATTTTATCAGCTGTCAGTCCCTTCCCGGTTTGAGGACTCCATGGGCGGTTTCCACTCAGGCTCCAAGGACCAAATAAAAGCGATTTGTTTTGTAAGGGAGGCTTCTGTCTGTTTCCCTCCTGGGGTCTGGGCCCGCAGAAAAGCAGACTATTCAAGGGCTCCCTCCCCAGGCAGCAGGTGGGCTCTCCATAGTAGAGACCATAGTGGTCTCCATAGCTGTACCTATGGGCACCAGGGCCTGTGATGGTGACCATGTGCATGGTTGTGTCTAAGATCAGCTTCGGATGTGCCTCTGAGGGACAGAGGAGAGGCTGGGCAGAGGCTAGGGCCAGACTGCAACCTCAGAAAGGACCCTTGTGGCAGGCAGTTCAGTGTGTATGTGTGGTTTTTCCCTTCCTGTGTTCCAAGGCTCTGTCTGAACCCATCAGTCACCAGACAGGAGCAGATGGAACAAGGGGGGCAGAGTGGGATGGCAACTCCAGCTCCTGCTCTTATTCCTACTCTGCTTCCCCTCCCAGTCTTGTTCTAGCCTAGGCCTCTGCCTTGTGTCATGGGTGATGGTGTGCTGCTCAGCCCCCTCTGGCCTGCAGCCCAAGCCCCTCTGGGGCTGGAGGATGCCTCCTGGGTTGAGTGGGACTGGGGGGGCACGGCCAGAGTGCTCCTTGTAAGAGGCCTGTCACAGGCCAGCCCATCGAATGTGAAAGCAATTAAAGCCACCAGCAGTATTGGCTCCAGGCGGGCCTCGGGCAGCAGGGCAGCTGCCATAACACATCTCACCTCCGAGCCCACTGTGCTGGAGCCCACAGCGCCAGCCCTGCCCCCCGCGGCTGCACACAAAGCTGGACCTCCTGTGGGGTAGGGGCCAGGCTGCACCAGCCACATATCTGGCAAAAGCTGCCACCTTCCATGTCTGGCATCCTGGGCATTCCAGACCCAGGTTCTTCTCAAGACCCCTTCCTTCTGGCCCCACCCACCCACCACCCACTTTTTTCCAGCCTTTGTAGCCTCCAGCCCCAGGACAGCCCAGGAGGGGTTCCCAGGATGCAAGATACAAGGACCCTCAGTGTACACAGCAGGCCTACAGCTGCACCCTTCCCCACAATTTGGCCCCAGCAGACAGTGGGTGAGGGGGGGAAGGGGGCTCCACAGAGGAGTTAGAGACACTCAGAAGGTCTTTCAGCTGATACTGGACAGCAAGCTGGGCTCCTTGGATTCAGTATATTTAGGGCAGGTGGTCTGGAGGAGGCATTTGGGCTGTGTAGAGGTGGCCAGGCAATCCTTAGGAGATAACAGCATTCACTTAGGCATCAGCAGTCTGGGCCAGACGCCTGGGACACCACTACAGTGCACCTGGGGTTCGGCTGGCTCAGCCTCCAGGGAATAGGGTGGACTGTCCTGAGGATGGGGTCACAAAGCTCAAGAGAGTAACAGGACTTGTCACTAAAGCCAAAAGTGGACGAGGTATCAGGGGCCCGGTCCCCAGGGATCCTCTCCTCCCCCTTTTAAGCCCCCTACCGCTTCCCCAGTCTCCTATAGTCTCACTCTGACAGTCCCACCGTCCTATTCCTAGCCCCCTAGTCCTACTTCCTGGCCTGAGCTGGCCCTCTGCTCCCACGACCCCCTCCCAGCCCTCACTGCTGGTGCTGCAAGCTATCATGGCCTTCCTGGGGCGGGTGGTAGCATGTTCTCACTTGTGAGGCATCCCTGTCAGAAGCACTTAGTGTACAAATTAGCTGTGGCCTCTCTGCCTCCCTGTGCACAGCTCGGCGCTGGGCTGACAGGGCTGTGCTTCCGGGCCTCTCCTGCCTGCCCAGGGCACATGGCTGCCCAGTGTGGACCCTTGGCTGCCACCCACATCTGACCAAGGTCTGTTCCCTGCCAACTGGCCAGTTATTTGCACAGGCCCCAACTATGAGCTGGACAAAGATGCCCACAGCGGAGGGAACATTCATTGAGGTACTAGGGGGCTCAAGGCCAAGACCAGGACCTGCCCCAAGAAAGGCAAGTCCTAGGTTCAAGGGCAGTGGGGGGCCTGGACATGAAACCAGCTCACAGTCTCCCACTGCCCCGCCCGCAGCCAGCCTGCCACTCAGGCAGGAAAAATCGTCTGTGACAGGCCCAGGAAGGCCGGCCCCGGGGGCCGCACAGCAACGCACACAGCTCCTCTTCCCAACATATGGCTGCTGTCGGCCCCAGGCACCGCTCAACCAGTGCCAGGCTCAGAAATTGGGTGGGGGCTTCAGTAGCCTGAGCCTCATCCCACCTGCCTGCTTGCTGGCCCCTTTGAATGCAGAAGCTTCTCCCCCAGCTTGGATGCTCTTGTGATGGGGCACTCACTCACCGAAGCACTGTCTCTCAGCCCTTCCCAGTTGCCTGAGACACACAGAAGAGCACTGAATCCCAGCTGGCAGATTTGTGGAAAATTCTGAATTCTCCAGGCCCTACATGTACCCCACTGTGAGCCAACTCCTCCCTAGCCCTCTTGAGCCTGGGCTGTCTCTGCCCATTCAGTCACCCATCTCCCTTTTGCCCCTCACATCCCTACTGTGTGCTGGCTGTACCCTCCCCCCCCATGGTGTCACATTCTGGAGCCTCAGTGGATACAGTCCCTCAAGCACATTCCAACCACATACCTCAGGCTGTCCCCAGCTTGAGACAAGAAGTAGGAAGTCCCAGGGACAGCCCAGGCACTCCAGGTTGAGGGTCTTATATGCACTCAGAGGGTTGTCCCAGTTTCTGCTCCCAACAGAATAGTCAAATGAGAGCCATGGCTAAACATGGAATGCAGCTATGTGGTGTGGACCACCCTGGGGGCCCAGAGTTGCTGCCTCAGCAAATACATCCAGTCTCGGGCTTTAGGCAGAGCCTGGGGGGGGGGGTCCAGTCTGGCTCCATGCCTTGTGCCTCCACCCACACCTATCCCTGGGTAGGGCTACAATGCTGAGAAGATGAGAGAGGTCTGCTCCAGGCACTATGTGGCTGCAGACCCTGACCAGCCTGCCCATCCCAAGTTCTCCGTCCAGCTGGCAGCCCCAGCAGTAATGAAGATGACAGGCGGGTAGCCGTGGGCAGGCCAAGGAGAAAAGGCTAATGGTTGAGATAAACTTCCAGCTGGGGGCAGAGGCAGCAGCCAAGAAGACCACTGCCCCTGCCTAGGATGCCCCTAGGCTCCGGAGCCCCCAGACGGAGGGTCCACCTCACCCCTTCTACAGAGGGGGTATAGCCCAGGGAATATGGGCAGGAGTCCTGCAGGTCAGGATACAGGGGTCAGGGAAATATCAAATTCCAAAGCTGTGGGGTCCCAGGCCCTGCCCCAGGTTCCCAGTGTGTAGGGAAGATAGATTCCAGCAGGTGGTCCATGATCTGAGGGAAGGAACCCTGAGGGGCTGGCTGTGCTGAAGGGCAGAGGCCAGGGGACCAGCATCCAGCCAGCTTCATAGACCCCCAAAAGCAAGACCCCAGGGACTGTGCATCTCCCTTCACAGACCTCTCCTAGATGCCTGGAAATGCATCTAGGTCATGCCCCTTGGGTTCCCCCTAGTGCTGCCCCTTCCTCCTCTCTCTCAAACCTCTGTAAAGACTCATCAGGCAAGGATGAGGCACTCCAGGGCTTAGCAGCCCTTCTAGTGCCTTCCTGTTTTTCTGATATGACACCACATCTGAGTCTCTCCTGGGGCTCCTTAGTCACTTGAGCTTCACTAGGGTTCATTCCCTGCATCCTGAGACCAGGGTCCCCCAAGATCAGAGCTTCTCAAGACCAGAACTTCCCTGGACAATGGCCACAGCCTCTGGCCAGCCCTTCCCTGTACTGGCAGACATGGCCTCTCCAAGACCCTCAGGAAGGTCAGCCTGAGGTGACCAATGTGGGACTAGAGAGCAAAGAGCTGTCACTAGGATTCCAAGGTCTGGGTTATCTTTCTGGTGAGCACCCATGATGAGGGGGGCAGTCTCCTGGTCCCTGTCTCCACAGGGCTGCTGGATGATGGCCACACAAGCTGTCTCCCGGCCCAGGGCCACCTGCACAGTCAGCTGGTCAGCCAGGCCAGGCCAGGCAGGCAAAGATAAGGCTGGCATACGGCCATGGCCACAGCACCCCTTCAGCCCCATGCTACCCATGGACAGCTCTCAGACAGCAGTGGGCTGCTGCGTCAGGAGGTAGCATAGGAACAGGAGGAGACTGTACTGGGTTCTTGTCCCCCAGAACCATGTGACCCTGCTCCTTGACCAGCACTCCAAGGATCCCTGCTAACAACCAGGGCCTGGCTGTCACCCCCCCTGAACAGACAAGGAAGCCAAGGCTGGACTCACAGAGTCAAGGAGGTGCTGGATTCTGAGGCTCCCTCTGTCTGCCCCATTGGAGGGCAGCACCCAGAAGCCACTAGAGAGTCCTTCTACTTCCTTCCCCTAAGCTCCCTATTCTTTTGTTGTTGTTGTTGCTGCTGGGGATCAGACTCAGGACCCTGCACTTCCGAGGCAGGTGCCGGAACTACTGAGCTAAAACCCCAGCCCAAGTTCCCTGTTCTTTTTTTTTTGGTACCGGGGATTGAACTCGGGTCCTTGCACTTACGCAGCAGGCGGTGAAACCGCTGAGCTAAATCCCTGGCCCAAAGCTCCCTATTCTTGAGGTGGGTTGGGAAGGCCCAAGGAGCTGTAGCTGAGTATGTAGACAATGTGAGTCCCCAGCAGCCAAGTGATTCCTGGTATCCCCAGAGCTGGCCTGAAGAGCCCATATCTCAAACCCACTTCAGGGCCTGGGATTTAGCTCAATGGTTCTGCTGCCTGCCTCGAAAGTGCAAGGTACCCGGCCCCCCCCCAAAAAATTATAGCCGGGGATTTAGCTCAGTGGTTTCGGTGCCTGCTGTGCAAGCACAAGGTCCCGAGTTCGATCCCCAGTACCAAAAACAAAAAAGAGGGCCGAGGATTTAGCTCAGTGGTTCTGGCACCTGCCTCGAAATCACAAGGTCCTGAGTTCGATCCCCGTTACCAAAAAAAAAAAAAAAGAATTGGGCATCAAACCCACTTCATACTTCTTTGAGTAAAGGTGTTTTCCTGTAATCGAAGGTCCTGGCTGTTCCACCACTGGGATGGAATCAACTGGCCAGGCAAATTTCTGCCAGGACCAGCAGAAAAGTAGGACCCTGGAATGTTGAGGGTTTTGTTTTTTTTTTTTGGTACCGGGAATTGAATTTGGGTCCTTGCGCTTGCGCAGCAGGCGGCAAAACCACTGACTTAAATCCCCGGCCCCTGGAATGCTAAGTTTTGACAGGTCAAGAGCAGCTCTGGCCATGAGGACAAGACAAGAAAGGCGTGTCCAGGTTCATGGTGTTCCTCCCTGGCCCTCCCTGGCCCTCTTACCACCCTGAGACCTCCCAAGAGGGGAGAAGCTCCTTCAGATCACAGGCAAAAACTTGTCCAGCACTGCAGCCCACAGGCACCTCTTGGGGAGAGAGGACTGGGGTGCTGTATCCAAGAAAGAGGGCGTCCACACACGGAGCCTGAGGCTGTGACCATCAGAGGACTGGCAGTGGGACAGGAGCGCAGAGCCATTTCACCTCCTTTTTGGAGACAAGGAACTGTACAGGGCCGCCTGCCCCTCGAAAGCCACAGGGATCCAGCTTGGGTCTGCGCTCGGGCGCTCCTGGACAGCTCTGCGGACCGGTCTCAGGGCTCAGCCCCTCGCCCTGGCTAGATGGGCAGTTGGCTGTCCGGAACCAGAGCCCTGACAGAAGAGTGCTGAAGCCCCCCTCACGCCGCTGCGGGACCCGGGAGACCTGCGCGCCTCTGCGAACCCCCGCGGCAGCCTGCAGGCAACAGGGGCGGGGACGATGCCCGTAGCCCCCCATTCGCTCGCACCTGCGCGCATCCACGGCCAGCGCTCTGTCCAGAGCCGATGGGCGAGTAGGCGGACGAGGGCAGTCCCGCCTCCCCGCGCCCTAGTCAGGTCCGAGGTCGCCGCGTCTGGGAGCCCGCGCCGTGGCGCACGCGCGCGAGTTTCTCCTCCAACTTCGGTGGGCGAGCCAGCGTCGGGGGGTGGGGTGGGGTGGGACGCAGTCGGTGGCGGCCGCTTCGGGGAGCCGCTACCGCTCCGGAGCCGCTCCCCGAGTCGGGCTCCTTCAGTTTCCCCCGCGGAGTCCACGGGTGTGCTCGGGAAGTTCATTCCTCCTCACAGACTTGGCGGGAGCCGCAGGCTCGTCTCAGCAGACGCGGGTAAGGCGGGCGGTGGTGCTTCCCACGAAGTTGGGGCGCTGGGTGGGTGCGTGGTCTGGGCTGGGGCAAGGGTCGCGAGAGAGGCGGATGCACTCAGCCCCCAGGGCGTCCCCAGTCCCCTGTATCCAGACTCCACGAGGGGAACCACCTGGGTGCTGCGCAATGGAAAGGCAAGGGGAAGTGTAGAGTCCCAGCCAGCCCCACCTCAGCCAAGTGGGCGCCGCGTGGGGTGCTCCCTGAATCCCAGTGGGGGACGGGGTAGGGGAGCTATGATCTGCTGGTGGCCACCTAGGGTGCCAAGTGCCAAAGGTTCATCCCAGACGGGAAATGCAGCTAGGGCGTCTAGGAGCATGCCCTGGTCAGTCACAGGTCGAGAGAGGGGCAGTAATATGTCTATGTGTGTGTCCTGGGGTGAGGGGTGGCCGGTGTGGTCTCCCATCCCTGTACAGTGTGCTGGGTGAGCACTGGGCTTCCTCTGGGTCCTCCTGGGGTCAGCACCTGATGAGATGGCCTTCGGACAACCCCCCTTCACTGGTGCCTGACCTGAAGGGGCAGCACAGAAGGAACTTCTTTTGGAGTCCCCCCTGAGGGGGGAGCCTAGTCCCGGCTGAGGGGGGGTAGGCACCAGCACCAGTCTGCACAGCTGTGTGGCTCCCAGGGCCGCGTGATCGATGGTCCTGGTACAGCCGCCTCTGTTGCCTGTGCATGCACGCATATCTGTCATCCACATCTGGTAGGGGACAGGGTGGGAAGAAGGGCTGCCTCTGCACCCACCAAATCTAGGTGGAGTCTCCTGGGCCAGCCTACTCCTTCTGACCTTGGAGCCCCTCTCAGCCTCTGCTTGCCTCACTCTCATACCTCGGTCTGGTCATGCTGACCGTTTGGAGGGCCCCTCTCCACCCTGTAACAGGGTTACCCACGTGGTATTTGGTGGCAGTAGAGGCAGCTGTCTGCTCTGGGAATGTGGAGGAAGGCTGTGCCCAGCGACTGCCCAGCCACTCCCAGTTCAACCCTCTGGCTATCTATGACATGCACATGTGTCCACATCTATGATGGATCTGTGCCATATGAATCCCAACCATGTCTATGTATGTCCTCGGGTGAGTGGTGTGTGTGTGCACATGTGTATGTTGTCATGCACAAGCAGTGGTATCCACTCTGAGTTGGGTATAGGGCATGTGGGCATACCTGTCCAGGCCCCTCTGTGCTCGGTGGCATAACCACCAAGAGGTTGCTCCTTGAGCTGCTAAACCAGGGCTCCTGGAGAGCCTCGTATGCCTTTGTGCACACATGCCATGCACCCATACAGGCACAAGTGCCAGGGCCGTGGACAGCCCAGGTGGTGGCCCAGATGGACTGTAGAGCGGCTCCCAAGCTGGCGTGTGGTATAGGGCGTGGAGAGGAGAGGGTCTTGGCTGAGCATGCTGCTGCAGGCTCGGTCGCTGACCTGCCTAAAGCCACCCAGATGGAGCTGGGCTGAGCAGGTGGCTGTGGTATGGGGCCATGCTGTGATGTCCACTCCCCTCAGCCTGGGCTGGCTCCCTATGAAGCCAACCCCTTCCGAGACCCTATGGCTACCTGACACTACACTGGAGCAGTCTCAGGCACGGGGGCACACACACAAACATACACACAAACATACTCACACATACACGTACACTGTGTTAACCAGATGATCAGAGCCTCTGCTGGTTTCTGTCTCGTTGGCTTTCACCTTGGCCTCCAGTGGGGCTGGGTGGCTCAGCAAACATGGGAGTCTCTGGCAGGCAGAGGACAAGAGAGCCTGGTCACATGCAGCTTCTTTCAGGCACTTGTCTGGGGTGGGGCTTGGACAGAGACTAATTATCCCAAAAGCTAGCCTAGGGGGCCAGCCTGTCCTCAGGGGAGGAATTTGTACATTGTTACTGGCTAAATACAGGATGCTCAGGGAATTTAAGTTTCAGAATCACATTTTTGAAGTAGTTTATAAATAATGCTTAGGCCATGGTTACACTAGAAAATTATTTGGTGTCTGGATCAGATTTAAGCAAGAGCTCTGCATTTTTCTTTGCTAACCAGGCAACCCTAGAAGTGCCTAGAGAGGAGTTCAAGGTCAAGGGATCTACAGTGCAGAGGCCAAGGGTCCAAGGTCACAGGGCAGAGGCAAGCAGAGCTCCTTGAACTCTCATCCCTGGAGTGGGGGAGTCCCCTGAACGGGACAGGGAACCCAAGAGAGCTGGTACTGACCGTGGTACCCTGTCGACAGATGGCCATGGTCCCTGGATCTGCCCACTAGCAGACTACGATGTCTCGAGAGGGAGGATCATGCCGCGTGGGCACAGGGGCCAGGGTACGGTCACGGAAGCCCAAGAAACCACACTACATCCCTCGTCCCTGGGGCAAGCCTTACAACTACAAGTGCTTCCAGTGCCCCTTTACCTGCCTGGAGAAGTCACACCTATACAACCACATGAAGTACAGCCTCTGCAAAGACTCCCTCTCACTGCTGCTGGACTCCCCTGACTGGGCGTGCCGCCATGCACCCTCCTCACCCAAGCCCCGGGTGCCCACCCCTGACTGCCCTGGGGATCCTCCAGGCCCTGGTATCCAGCCCTCTCTGCCCAATCTTGTCACTGACAGCCTCTCCTGGCGCCGCTGTGGTGGGGGTCCCAATCCTGGGGCTGAGGGGTCCCCAGGGCCACTGGCCCCTTTGACTAGGGCCTCCCGGAAGGGTCCAGACCCCACCGGGCTCCTAGTAGAGTCATGGAAGCCAGGGCTGGGTGGTGGCCCAAGGAGCATGGCCCTGGGGGCGGTGAGGGCCATGGCCTCGGCAGGTCCTGAGACCAGCATCCCCTGCTACCCACCTCCTCCTCCAGGCGACCTCCCTGAGGCCCACAGCCTGCATCTGTCTCTTCTGGGTATCAACTACCCCCTTGGCCCAGGCCTCTTCTCCTACCTGGGGCCCTCACTGGCTGCTACTGCTCACATGCCCTTTCTGGCCTCAGCCAGCCCCCTGCTACCCCCAGCCACTGCTATGCCAGCCCAGCAGCCCCCTGAGCGCCAGACCCTGACTCCCCACCTATACTATCCACTACTGCTAGAGCACAGAGTAGGGCTGCCCCCAGGTAGGGCAGACCAGGCCAAGCCCTCTGTGCCCCACAAGGGGCCCTCTGGAACTCTGGCTCCTGAGCTGCTGAAGGTGCCTATCCCAGGGCTGGTGGGAGCCTGGGCCCATAGCACCACCAGGGACCCAGGGCAGGAGGGTGAGCTGGAGGGAGCTACCCAGAGTGACCCCCAGAGGAGGCTGCCTCCAAGGAGCAGGCTGGAGCTCCAGAAGGCCTCCTCAAGCCTGGCAAAGTTCCATCCCCAGAGCAGGTGGGTGCCATGGACTCTGGGTTCTGGGAATGGAGAGATCAGGGGAGGACTGGATGGGGGGCTGGGCCCTGTTCTGATCTTACTCACTGGGAGTATAGGCTCCTGGTCACAGAAAGGAACTGAGACCAAGAATGTCTTGTCTGTCCTTGCGGGACCCCATTCTCTTTCCCTGGGGCCACAGGTGGCAGAATGGGTAGAAGACACAGGGAGCTGGGCGTGGTGGCGCATGCCTGTAATCCCAGCACTCGGGAGGCTGAGGCAGGAGGATCGCCACAAGTTTGAGGCCAGCCTGGGCTACATAGTGAGTTCAAGGTCAGCCGGAACTACATAGTGAGACCCTGTCTCAAAAACAGCAACAACAGCAAAAAGAAGACACAGGGAACAAGGGTTGGGGGTGCTGTGGTGGAGATTGCAGCCTCCTGACTACTTCCTACCCTCCAGCCTGTCGACTGGCTCTTCCCTGATGCTCTGGCCTGAGGACAAGGAGCTGAGTGACCCTGAGGCCCCAGGCCTGGAGGTCCCCCTCCCCCAGCAGCCAGGAGGCCTGGTGCTGGGCAGCACAGGGCCTGTGGGAAAGGACCTGACCCAGGCCCTGGGTGACTACACCAGGGTGGAGCAGTGCCTGGGGCAGCTGGCCCCAGCTGGAGGCCTGGCCCCCCGACCTCTGCGGGAGCAGCTGAGTAAGATCCGCCGTGAGCTTCTGACCATTCACCAGGCCCTGGAGCAGGCAGCACAGCCACCGGACATGCCCCTCGACCTCTCTGTGAAACGGGTGGCCTCCAAGGGAGCTGAGGCCACAGCAGGGCCCTGGGGGCTGTCCAAGCAGGCCCCAAGCATCCTGAGCCCTGCAGCGCCTCAGCCCTTCTCTGGCCATACCACCAAGTGCGAGGCTGACTCCAGTGTCCCACCCCCTGGTCTTTCCTTCCAGGGCCCCGAGGACCCTGTCATTCCTGGCGGTGGCTGGAGCACCTGTGTCAGGGCTAGGGGCTCCCAGACCCCTAAGGATGTCCCTGGCCTGCAGAGTCCCCCAAGTGCTGAGGTCTGACCATGGCCCCCTTAGCATGCTGACCCTGCTCCCCAACCCCAGCCCCACTGCCTAGGCCTGTCCAGCCTCAGGCTGCATGTGGATGGACCCCAAAGTGCATTGTGAGGCTTGTTTCTGGGGCCACATGGGAATAGTTGGGTCATGGTTATTAATTGATCACAGTTGTGGACATTAAAGTGGAAGTCACCTTCAAAAACCTTGCCTGGGCTACCTTCCTTTCTTCCTTCCCCAGAATGAGTTAAAGCCACTCCAAGGAAATGTCCCTGACCTAGGCCTCTGGGTGGGCAGTGTCCCTGGCCTCCCTGCTGGACTTCCACCTGGAACTGGGCCCTCCCTGGGGCCTGGGGTGGGTGGGGGCATCAGCAGGGGACAGAGCCAGGAGAGACAAGTATGTGCTGTGGGGCTGCTCAGATGATTTGGCCTGGTTTTTGGTGCACTGAAGGTGGGCAGGAATCTGAGCATCTGCCAGCCCCAACCCACCCAGGCTATCCTGGCCCCAGCTTCCCCTGTGGTTATATGTGCCTCCTGCATTCTGTGGCTCAGGACTGCTCCCCCCTGCATGGCCCCCTCTAGGCCCTGCCAGCCCCTGCAGCCATGATAGGCATCAGTGGCCTTCACAGCTCACTGCCTTCTTCCTGGTGCGACCAGGCTTGGCCTTCCATAGGCGGGGGTTGGGGTGGGTAGGGAGGGGCACCAGGGGTCCTGCAGCTATGACGAATAACTTCCTGGGAAGCTGGGACACATCTCCATGCCCACCCAGGAACGGCCCCCGCAGTGCAGGTTGCCCTCAGAGGAGGCGCTGTTCCTGCCTGCACCTGGATGGCCAAGCTGGGGCTGGGCTGGCCAGGCTGGGGCCAGTCCAAGCAGGACCTTTGGCTGCCCCATTAACTGCATTCACCTGGTGATAGCATCAGCCGGCCACCCCACCATGAGGCGTTATATGTGGTGTCCACAGCCAGGGTGCTGGCTGGCCAGGCACAGGGTGCTATGGGTTGCAGACCAGGGCTGACATGCCAGCCATGCAGTCTTCACTGGAGGCTTCCTGGGGGCTTCCAGAGACAGTAGGAGAGCCAGAAGGTGCTGAAGGAACCCTGGTCCCGAATCTGAGGCACATCCATCCCTTGGCACCCTAGGTGTGTGCTGCACCCTGATTTCTTGTGATTTTCTGTGCACTGCCAGCTTCACATGAGCAGAGACAGGACCAACCTGCTGGGGGTGACAAGAGGGTGACCTAGCCAGCAGGTCACATTCCCCAAGGCTCTTCCAAAAAAGTCCTGCCTGCAGGCTGTGGCCTCAGGCTTCCCCTGGTTTTGTGTGTGTTTGGCGGGGGTGGGGAGGGTGTCTGGGAGAGGAGAGGTCTAGCTGAGAGGCAACCACCCATGCAGGGCCAGTGGGAAGAATGTCCAGGGAGAGTGAGGCCCACTGAAGCCTGAGGCAGGAAGAGAACTAGGTTTACAATCCAGAGCTTCCTTGCTTTCTCCCCCACCCCACCCCCTTGCTGTGGGGCAGGGCCAGACTGCTCCACCACTTGTCCTTCCAGGGAACCTCTCCCCGCAGCCTCTGCAGGCCCTGGTCTCCAACAACAGAGGTTGCTTCCCCTGCCGACTGATTTGTCCCTGCAGGGAACCTGCCCTGTGTCCTCCCCGCCTCCCCCCTCAGGCCTTGGTCTCCAACAACAGAGGTTAAGCAGGAATAGCACTGTTGTGGAGCTGGAGAAGAACTGTTGCAGAGCAGGAGCAGGGACCCTGGCCCCAGGTATGGGACCCCCTGGCAGGGCCTCTGGAAAGGGTAGGAGGAGAGTCCTGGGAAGGAACCCTACTTCACCCATCAGAGGTCGGAAGTCTCCCAAGTGTGGGGATAACCAGGAGGAGCTTACTTCCGAAGGAAGAGGTCCTGTGGGCAGTTTGGAAGATGCTGCTTATCTGTCACCCCTCACTCCTAACCCAGGATATTGTGAAGCCTGTGTGCTTGTTTGGGGCTTAGCAAAATCTTTCAGGAACTGGGCATAGTGGCACACACATATAAGCCGCTTCTGGGTGACAGGCTATGTGCTTGGAGCTGTGGACATCTCGGGAGTCTGAGGCAGGAAGATTGAGTTTGAGGTCAGCCTGGGCTACATATTGAGACCCTGTCTCAAAAAAGACGTCAAACCAAACAAACAAAACCTCAAACCTTAAACCTTGATGGTGGGTTGTACTTCTCAGACTCCTCTTTCAGGCACCTTGACACCTGGTGGCCTTGGGTTTGGGGACCAAATGAGCACTTAGGATCTAGAGGAGCTATGCTCAAACCCAGTTCAGCACTGTCCCCTGCCTCATGCTTTAGGCTCATCGGTATAATGGGAAATGCCAGCCTTGCTCAGAGGGCACCAGGACCACTAAGTTGCCACTTGCACACTGGGGAAGACCCTCACCCTTCCTCCCCTACCCACCTCCCTTCTTCCCTCCCTCCCTCTCTCCCTCCATTAGTATTGGGGATTGAATCCATGGCCAGGCATGGTAGGCAAGAGACCTCAACACTTTTTTTAAAAATTTTGAAACAAAGTCTTGCTAAATTGCCTAGGCTGGTCTCAAAGCTTGCCATCCTCCTGCCTTAGCCTCCTGAAGAGCTATGATTATAGGAATACGTTGCCATCCCCCATTATATCTCTCTTGCAGCTGCAAAGAAGCTAAGACTGTGACTCTGCCCACCTGCCTACTCTCTGGTCTCCTGTCCCTGATCCTCTGGCCTCCTGCTCCTCCCCTCACTGGCCAGCTGCTCTGAGGGCCTGTACCTCAAACTGGACCTGGCTGGATCCCCTACTTGTTCCCAGCAGCCCCGGCTGCTTGGGCAAATCCTGATCCCTGCAGGGGCTGCAGGCGGGCCCCGAGGGCTGGACTGCTCCTCAGATGGTTTGCTTTTCCTGACGGCTGGGGCTGCAGCCTGTGTCCACGTGCTGGACCTGGAGGGACGCTCCATCTGCCATCTGCCCTGCTACACACCGAGGGCTGGGGCCTTTATTCCAGAGGATGTGGCTGTGACAGCTTCAGGGCTTGTGGTGGTCAGCGACCTTGTCCATGGAGCTGTCTACGCTCTCAAGCACACTGCCTGGGACCCACAGGGCCACTGGGTGATAGTGGGCACTTTTCCATCCCCCCGAGGACTGGCTGTAGATGCTCTTGGCCGCTTCCTGGTAACAGATTATGTGCTTGGCGCTGTGCACATCTTTAAATTGGGCCCTACCTGGGAGCCCCGAGCCCTGCCCTCAGTGCTGGGCCTAGAGGGCCCTTGCTGGGTAGGCCCAGGGCCTGAAGGGGGCCTGGCTGTGAGTGAGGAGTTTGGGGATGTCCAGCTGTTTGGCAGTGCCTGCCAGCCCCTGGGCTCCCTGGGGACTCTGACTGGGCACAGCTTTGGCCACCCTGCAGGTGTGTGCTCTGACTCAGAGGGCAACATCATTGTGGCTGATGAGCAGAGGCGCCAGGTGATCCTGTTTCCCCGGGCTGGGGCACCCATCTGCCTGCTGTCGGAGGGGCTGAAGCGGCCTTTGGGCGTGGCCTGTGTAGCTCAGGGCCGACTTGTGGTGGCAGATGCTGGAGACAACTGCATCAAGGTGTACCAGTACCTTGGGGAACTGGACTGATTGATGGTAGACTCTGATGAAAGCACTTCTCACCATCCTGGCCAGCCTCCGGGCCCTTAAACCACCCTACGGGAGGTCAATGGGTTCCTCTGGGGCTGCTGGCCATGCTTCTGACTCTGGGACCTAATGTACCTAGCCCTGGGCTGGTCTTGTGTCTTTCTCTCAGAGAGCTATGAGTCAGCTGACTCTCCTTCAAGGCTCCAAAGCTGGCTCTCTCCACATCCCTGCTCAGTGTGCCCCTGGCCCTGTGTTCACTGTTCCCATGTCTACTCAAGCCTTGGCTCTGCTGGCTCAGATCCCAGAAGCTGGAGCTCTGGGGTGGGCAGCTGAACCTTAGATCCCTTGGCATGATGGGCTGCCAGCCAGCACATACCTAGGCAAGATCTCCTGCCAGGCCCAGCCCCAGCCTTCTAATCAGAAGCAGGCAGACAGGGTGTGGCTGGGCTGGGTGGCTTGTGGCAGGGTTAGGGCCCATCAGGGTCCACTAGCCTCAGAGGCACCAACTGTCCTGAGCCTCCAGCAGCTTCTTTGGTTCTAGCAGAGGTAAGGGAGAGAGAGGGGCAAGGAGTGGAAGGTCAGGCTTGGAGTTGCCCTGGGAGATATGGCTGGCTCTGCCATTTCCCAACATGGAACTACTTCAAAGGCTGTGTGAGCCTTCAGTTTATCTTCTGCAAACATGTCCAAACAGCTCTAAAGTCATGAGAGGGCAAGAGTGCTGGGAGGGTTCCGGGTGGCACCCTCCTTTCTCTGATGACAGACTCCTGCTGCTTAAAAAAAGAGAAAATATAGCCTTTCCTCCTAAATGAGCAAGTGGGGCCTGAAAGGGGTATGTGTATAGGGGTGGAATTTTTCGGTGAGTCTGGGCCTAGGAATAGGTTTCATGCCAGAGAGGACAGTGCTGGGTCTTGCCACATCAGGTTATGAGGTGACCTCTATCCAGGACCAGGTCATTAGGATCTGTATTTTAGGCCATTCCCATTCTTGGTTTTCTCACTAGGTCCTGGCCCCTACAGGTGGGGCATTAAATGGACAGATGTAAAAAGCTGCTTCCAGGGCTCAATAAATGTCAGCTACTGCCCTCACTTGTGAGGCACTGTTGTTCCTACAGCAGGGGTTCAATACATCTGCGTGTGACTTCCCCATTGGACCCCGTCAACCCGAGGCTGGCGGAGGGGGCCTTAAGTGGCCTGGGGTAGCCCCTTCGCAGACAACAAGGAGGGAGGGCACCGGTGGGGCCTGGGGAAGCTTCTTTGAAACCCCACGCAGAGGGCTGGAGATTTAGCTCAGTGGCACCGCACCTGCTTCGCAAGCTCAAGGTCTAGAGTTCAATCCCTGGTACAAAAAAAAGAAAAGAAAAAGAAACCCCACGCAGGGCCTCAGGGCCCTTTCATCTTTGGAAGGGAAACAAAGCAGGTAGCTCGCGAAGTTTGTCGGGGGTGGGGTGGGGTGGCCTCTGCGCTGCGCGGAACGCTAGTGAGGGGCCCGCGGGCCCGCGGGTAGCCCGAGAGCCTTTGAGGGTAGGACCGTTGCGCAGCAACGCGCGCCGAGCGGGCGGAAATGGGGCTGGTTCCCGCAGCGCGGACGCGGCGGAGCTGTAGGCTTCGAGCACCATTGTCAGCCCAGACCCACCTAACCCTGTGCCCAACCCTATCCTTCCCCATCGCCTGGAGACGCGGCCTGGAGGACCAGCGGGTGAGCTCTGGAGGCCCGGAGTCCTCAGTGGGGCAGAGGGAGGGTATCCAGTCTCTGGGGCTGCGCCAACCTCTGGCCTTTCGGATTTGTTTCCTTGTCGGAGAAGTGGGGTGGTCGTCCTGCCACCCTGAGACTAAAGGTCGCCTGGGGGATCTCTGTGACCTGCCCAGCTTGGCCCGCCTGGACTCCTTACAAGGCCACCGGCGTCCGTGGGACGGGCCTGTTCCTGACACTTGTCCCTGACCACAGGAAAGGGCGGAAACAGACTCACCTCCACCCTTCTGAAAAGAGAAAGAAAAGCACTATTTACAGAAGGAGAAAAAGTTGCCCTCGCGCACTTGTGTGTGTGTGTGTGTGTGTGTGTGTGTGTGTGGTATGTATACAAACAACATAGGGTAAAGATGAATCCTTCTGAGGCTTCATGGAGGAGGGTTTCAGCCTGTGTCCCTGGGCTGGCCTAACTGGGCCCCAAATCCATTCGTGCATTGGAGGATGGGTTAGTACTTCTGCTTCATGGGGTGAACTTTTAATTAGATTTCTGTGGGAGGCTGTCTCGGGACCTCTTCACCTGACTTTTTAGGGCTGTTTCACTAGGAGCTGTCTCGTTCCTTTTCCAGCTCTGGCCATTGTTTTTTTTTAATCACCATCTTTAAAGATGGTCACGTTGCCCAGGTTTCTGCCTGTTTTCTCTCATCCCACACCTTCTCTGCTATTGATTGCCTGGTGTTTCATGTTTTTCTGGCTGCTGGATCCCCTGCAGCCTGGTGAGCACTGAGCACGCTCTTTTGCACTTCAGTCATTCCCAGAGGGTGAGGTGGGAATGGGGATAAGAATTTGCTCCCTGATCTGTTGAGTTCTCACCACCTCTCAGATCAGGGCATCAACATCTTGCCTCCGAATCCTTCCTTAGATATGAGGAGCTTCTTGTTCTGTTTTGCTTTTAAGGTAAGCTTTGTAGATAAAGCATAGTACACATAAAGCAAGTGCACAAATAGTATGTACAACTGTTGAATTTACCCAATGTGAACATACCAAATAACCAACTGTCCCACAGAACATATTTATTATTAGACCAAGGTGTTTCTCTTCAGACAATAGTCATGGGACGTTTTCCTTAGTTCCTGTGAAAAAGTGTTCGCCAGCAGGGTGTGATGGTTTCTTGACTGAGCTGGTGTGTCCTGAAGGGCTGATGCTGAAAGGCTTGGGCTGTGCTGGGTAGTCCATTGTGGCAGTCACCTAGCTAAACATGCTGGGCCCCTCACAGGCAGAATTGTTCTGTGCCTCTCACAGTACCCCTAAGTGCCTCATGACCTGCTGGAGGCAGGCCCTGAAGAAGAGACAGGAAGAGAAATTGGGGCACCAGGCTTTTCCTTTTGGGCATCCACCAGTTGCCTACCCTCTTTGGTCACTATGGGGAAAGGGCTTTTGGGAGTCATGTAGCTTGACTCAGGGATACCCTTTGCAATTAGAATCCACAGCTGTGAAATCCCTCTTTCCCAAGTTGGCTGTGACAGGCCTAGACCAGCAGTGGCAAACCTATGCCATTGAAAGCTCTAAAAGGTTTGCCATCACTGGCGTAGGCCTCCTGGCATGGCCTACCTGCAGGAGAACAGGGCCACTGGACCATAGTCTCTCGCTTTTTTTCCTTCATTGTTTGGATCATAGTGTCTTAAGCTCCTGGCATTTGTGGATCTGTTAGGTTCCTCCCCTGTCTGTCCTCAAGGGCTTGGTGGGCACTGAACTTGGGAGCCCAGGATCAGTCCAAGGCTTGTGTCCCTCGTCCCTCAGGTTTGTGTTCCAGCTGGGGGACTTTGCTTGGGTGATTGCTCTGTCTTTCATGCAGGGAAAGAAAATAAATGTGGGCGGCTAGACTCTGCCAGTGAGGTGGTCCTTCCTGTTGGCCTGATGTAGGGACTCGGGTGGAAGAATGAGAAAGCCTGCCCAGCTCAGTAGGGGGTGCCTGCAAGGAAACACAAAATCCCCAACTAGCTTGCTTCTGGGGAAGGAAAGGCTCAGGGCCCTGCAGAATTTAGTATTCATAGCTACTTGGGGCTGTGCTTGCTGTTCAAGGCCACACTGAGGTAGTGAGAGGCCAGGAAGGCTAATGTCTCTTCATTCTGCGAACATGACAGCATTTTCCACACCTCCAAGTCCCGTGCACACCTACCCCATGTCTAGATGGCTACGTGGTTGGAGAAATACATCCTAAAAGGAGAAAAATGCTCCGGATGTGGGAGCCCTTCATTGAGTGGCTGTTGGGGATCCCAGGGAAAGGTGGGAACTACTGAGGGGCACCCCAGGTAGGATGGAGGGTCACAATGAGGGCAGAAACTCCATGATAGCTGAGCCTGTTTCCTGAGCACAGTGACAGGTAGATGCTCTCCCTGCCTTGGAGGGGGAGGCTCCTTCAGGAAGAGGGCAATCCAGGCTCTGGGCTCTTGCCTAGGCACCTTCTGGGGTACTGCACCGGTACCCATAGTAGCCAGCTATGTGCATGCTTCTGGTTTCCTTGGCCCAAAAGCTTATCTTAAATTTGTGTTTTGTTTTTTTTTTGGTACCGGGGATCAAACTTGGGTCCTTGTGCTTGCACAGCAGGCAGTGAAACCACTGAGCTAAATCCCCAGCCCCTTAAATTTGTGTTTTTATTCTTAAAAGCTTAATCATTAGTAAATCCTGATTAAAATTGTATTTTGTGTTATTTGTTGAGACCATATATTTTGTTTGTTTGTTTTTGGTACTGGGGATCGAACTCAGGACCTTGTGCTCGTGAGGCAGGTGGTGGAACCACTGGAGTAAATCTCCAGCCAGAGACCATATACTTTTCAATGTACTACATATAAATAAACCTCTTTAATCAGGGCTCTTAAAAACCTTGTGGTCACGCCACCTGTCTTGAAAGCATAAGGACCCAAGTTTGATCCCTGGTACCAAAAAAAAAAACAAAAACCCTTGTGCTAGCCAGGTGTAATGGTACACATCTATAGTTTCAGTTACTCAGGAGGCTGAGGCACGAGGAGCAAAAGTTCCAGGTCAGCTTGAGCAACTTAGAAGGATACCATCTCAAAATAAAAAGGCTGGGATATAGCTTAGTGGTAGAGCACTTGCCTTGCATATGTGAGGGTTCAACCCCTAGAACCTTAAAAAACAAAACAGCCTTGTGCTCAGTCCCACAAACCTTTGTCAGGTGATATCTCTCGGGGCATGTCACCATGCCCTGTTTCAGTCTGCTTGTCTTGAAATGAGAGGAAGCACTGCCTTGCCAAGACACTCACAGCTGCTGCCTTGTGGCGTGGTCCTCACACTGGCCTTGAAGAAGCAAGGCCTATGTGAGATGGATAGCCAAAGCCCACCAGTGTCAATGATCAAACCCAGTGCTGGGTTGCCCCAACCTGTGGGCAGCAAATGTATTCATCAGGACTTCCGGGCACATGCTGTGGCCATAGAGTTGCCAGTCTTTGTGCAACAGCAGCTCTGAACCTACCTCTTCCCTCCCTTTCAGGGTTCCTGGGATGGTGCTCAAGGCGTTCTTCCCCACATGCTGCACCTTGGCAGACAGCGGCCTGTTGGTGGGACGTTGGATCCCAGAGCAGAGCAGTGCCGTGGTCTTGGCCGTGGTGCACTTTCCCTTCATCCCCATCCAGGTCAAGGAGCTCCTGGCCCAGGTGCAGCAGGCCAGCCGGGTGGGTTTGGCTGTGCTGGGTACCTGGTGCCACCACCAGCAGGAGCCTGAGGAGAGCCTAGGCCACTTCCTGGAGGGTCTGGGTGCCATCTTCTCCCATGAGCCCTGGCTGCAGCTGTGTCGGGAGAGGGGCCGCAAGTTCTGGAGCTGCAAGGCTACTCACCAGCAAGGTCCTGGCGTCCCTGGTGTTCCCAGCAAGGACCGTGTCATGCTTATCTTCTATGACCAGCGTAAGGTGCTGCTGTCCCACCTGCATCCACCCACAGTCCTGCCTGACTGCCAGTTTGGAGAAGTCACAGCCAGTACAGAGGGCCTGGCTGCCATCTTTGACACAGTATCACGCAGTGAGGTACTGTTCTGCAAAGACCAGTTTGATGAGGGCCCGGTGAGGCTGAGCCACTGGCAATCGGAAGGTGTGGAGGCCAGCATCCTCGTGGAGCTGGCGAAGCAGGCTTCAGGGCCTGTCTGCCTGCTGGTGGCCTACCTGCTATCACTGGTCTCAGCTGCAAGTGCCTGCCGGTAGGTGCCACTGGGGACATGGAGGGAGGGGCAGATAGTGGGCTCCTGAGAGTAATAGGCTTGCCCCTCAGTGTGTAGGGACATGGAAGCCTATATGGGTCCTTCCTGAGGCTTACAGCTACCCCCAGGGCCCTGGCACTGGTCCTGCCCTTCCTCCCCTGGCATCTCAGAGGATGTCCCAGTAGTAGTTGCAGTTTTCATGTCCCTTGCTCCTGTGTTAGAGCCAGTTTCTGGCAGCCTCAGTGGCTATGTGCAGCCTAGCAGATAGGAAAATGGAGTGAACTGTGGATGACTGAAGTCCCTTAAATCTGGGAGTTGTTTGGCCTCCTGAGGGCACACAGGCCTGCGTGCTTCCCTGTGACCCCAGCTCTCCACACAGCAGGGCTCCAGGCACCACAGCTGTCCCTATTGGCAGAGCTCCCTTGAGGCTGTGAGGTGACATTCACTCACTGTTGGCCTGGGGTTGTGGTTCCCAACTTCACATTCTTCAGAACCACCAGCAAGGTTCCTGGCCCACTGGCTTGGCCCGTGATTTTGTAAAAACCCTGAGGGCCCTGGGTTTTCTGGCTTATGACCAGAGGGCCTGGGAGCCCTCCTTCCCTGAGATGTTTCCCTGGTGTTGTCACCCCATGGAGAGCAGCTGTGGTTCACTCTCAGTTGCCCCTTCCCCTTTGATCCAGGGACTCAACAGGTGTGGGGACTGGCCTGTCCCACTTACGAGGGCTCTGGCAGCTCTGTGGGGACACCTTGGGTTGTGGGAGCCCCTGGGGATCTTGATGTGAGGGATGGAGCTTTGAGGCTTCAGGACAGCCTTGGAATTAACTAGGTGAAAGTGTGTGTCTGGGCTGAGGTACAATTTTGGCAGAGTCCTTAGCTTTTATTGTATTCCCAAAGGACCCAAGAAGGGTTCAGAACTGCTGGTGAGGACCAGATATTGATTCGTCCATCAGGCAAGTATTGGCTGTTGACTGGTGATTATAGGTACTGATACTCAGGTGACGCATGGCTGTCACTATGGTAATGAAGCCCCTCTGCCCCTCATGGCTTTGTGCCTCTTCCTGGGGTGTTGTCAGGGACCTGAATCATGCAGGGCTTATCTGCAACCTTGGAGAGATCATCACACCAATGAAGTCTCTATGCAGCCAGCAAGAGTCACTGCCTGTTTGATGGTTAGAAAGGGGAGGCTCAGTGGAATGTGGCCCATTCTTTTGTCTCAGAGCTGCCCCTTGAGGATGAGCCCTTTGGCCTTCTCCCTCCCCAATTTCTAGCCACGTGGTCTGTTGCAACTCTGGACTTTCTAGATGTTCTTTGGGCCCCTCCTCCCTGCATCAGGGGCTTTGGATGGGTGTACGGGCTCCCAGCTGAACCCCTTGGCCTGATGCTGCTATTCTGGCTCCATATGAATGCATGCAGCTGAGTTGCCATCAGGCATTTTTCTCTACCCCCACTTTCAGACTTCTCTCCTTAGCATGTGAGAGCCAGTGGAAGTTTTTCCATAATTCCTTTTCCTTGTGAGAAACTCAGTCTCACTGGGAAGCTGGATTAGTCCTGGAAACCTTTGGTGAGCCTTCTGGGCCCCATCGGACAGGCAAAGCAAGATTCTGGGTAGGCAGGAGGCTACCTGGTTCCCACTTTTTATTTTTTGGTACCGGGGATCGAACTCGGGTCCTTGCACTTGCAAGGCAGGCGGCGAAACCACTGAGCTAAATCCCTGGCCCTGATTCCCACTTTTGGGACTGTACTGACCTCAGCTTTGGGCAGACCAGGGGACTAAGGTGTGTTGAGGTCACAGCTTTGTGAGACGGTCAGGTTCAGTGTTAAGGTGAGCTCACATTGTGCCCGAGCCCTGGAAGTGCCGCCTGCCCCACCTGCCTCCTTGCCCTGCTGAGTTCTGCAGGGGCTGCTGGGCTCCAGCCTTTCCTCTATGCACCTGCACGGTGCATGCATCATCAGAAAGGAGAACCCTGATGGATCTCTTGACAGATGCTCATGCTCCCCTGCAGGCTGTGGAAGCTGTGGCCTCTGCCCTTCATAGCCAGCAAGCTCTCCACGTGCGAGCAGCTCCGGCACCGTTTTGAGCACCTCACACTTGTCTTCAGCACCCAGAAGGCCCAGAGCCCTGCTCAGTTGATGAGGTGTGGCCAGGGGGTCCTTCACAGGGTAGAACATCCTGGGTCCAGTCCCTTCCCTATCCCTGCTCTGCACCAGCCTCCCTGGGTGGCCTTATGCTGCCACTGGCCACCTCACACCACTCCCACTGACCCTTCTTCTAGGAAGGCCAACATGCTGGTCTCTATGCTCCTGGATGTGGCCCTCGGCCTCACACTGCTGTCCTGGCTCCACAGCAGTAACCGAATTGGGCACCTGGCTGATGCCCTCATCCCCATGGCTGACGTGAGTACATTAGGGTTTCCTGAGGGAGGGATCCCTCCGGTGGCTAGCTGAGTTCCCTAAGTCAGCTGGAGTAGCTCTTCCTTGTCCTTACCCTACACACACAACTCTCATGCCTGACATCGAGCAGGGGGGTGTTGGGACTGATGTTTCTCAGGGCAGCACTTACCAAGTGCCTACTTCTCCTGAAGGTAAATATATCTGGGGCGACTTGTTTTTTTTTTTAATTTTTTTGTTTAGTTTTTTTGAGATAGTCTTACTATGTAGGCTGGCCTTGAACTCACTATGTGGTCTAGGCTGGCCTTGAACATGTGGCAGTCCTGCCTCAGCCTCCCGAGTGCTGGGAATACAGGTGTGCGCCACCATGTCCAGCTCATCTGGGGCCACTTGTGGTTGGAGCTTTTAGGAGGAGTCTTTCTCCCTGCCAGGCTCAGGATTGTGTCTCTCCATTGCTTCCCTACCCCTGTGATCAGCTTTCTCTCCTGGACTCTGTGCTCTCCACATGCTCTGTGCATCAGCGTCAGGGAACCTTTCTGCTCAGGGCTGTCTGCGGGCATGTCATGCTGCCCCTGGCATTGGTTGCATAATTCCCATACTGACAGCTAGAGGTGCAGTCTTGTCTTCTGTACTCCTGACTTTACCAGCATGTCCTGGCCAGGGGCAGGCCCTGCCCTCCTCTTCTGTCCTCGTCTACCTGTTATGTTTACATGCTGCTGGACCCAAAGCCCTGTCTCTCCCATTAGGATCATGTCTTCTTGTGCAGGGTGGTCCCTCTGGCCCTTTGCCCACCTTTTGGCCTCTTGGGGCCTGCTTGTGGCCAAGCTAGAACTCTGAGGGGCTGGAGCCAGGTGCCTCTCAGCTCTGTTGGCTATGGGGACTCAAGACCAGTCCAGTAGGAAGGAGGTGTTGGGGTAGGGAGAGGCATGGCTGTTTCTACACTCTGCTTCTTGGCCAACTTTGTTCTAGACATCCCTCTGCCAAGTTGCCCAAAAATATAAATATTTAATTAAAAAATGAAAGTCTCTTCCTGCTGCCCAGCTCTTATCCTTTAAATATTAAATAAGCTCTATTTATAAAGAACATTCTCCCCTTCTTGCTAATCTTGACATGCCCAAGGCCTTAGCACAAGATCAAGAGAGCCCTTCAGGGTGGGCAGGTTGGGGCACAGAGATGTTGCCTGTAGCCTTGCCTCAGCAAGGAAAGTGAGGGTTCCTGTGGCCAGCACAGCACTTGGACACTGGCTCTCCTCCTGGGTGGCCAGAACTTGGCTTCTCTGGTTGCTTTTGAGGTCCCTGTGCTGTCTCTTGCCCTCACTTGATCTTATCCTCTCCTCTGGGGGCCCACGTCCTCCATCACTGCCACCTGCTGCTCTGGGCCCTGATGAGTGATGTTTTCTCACAGGTCACATACTATGGGCAGCCCAAGTGGTGATAGATGGTGGGGTGGGGTCTTTGGCCCATAGTTCCCCTGTAGGGGTTGAGGTAAGCCCTACTGTCCAGCCTTGACCATGTCCAGGTTTGGGGCTGAGGCCTCTGGGAGTCCAGAAGTGAAGAGGTGAGGTGGGAGGCAGAGGGATACTCTCAGGGAGGTTGATGCCCATCAGGAGCACCTGCCCAAGGGGCCAGGCACAGTTGTCAGCTGCCTAGGTTTTGTGCTTGAGGCTGAAGAGAGGTTCCTTGGCTAGGCAGATTTGGGAAACTGCCAATCCATGTTAGGAGATGGGGGTCTGGATATTGGGAGGAAGGAAGTATGGACTGCCTTTGCCCTGCCTGGGCAGGCAGGCCAAGGTAGAAGCCCATCACGAAAATCTCAGGAGGTGCTGATGTTAATCTTGACTGCACACCCCACCAGCACCAACAACCCTCATCCACCCCACCCCTGCGCCATGTCCCTGCAGCATGTGGCCGAGGAGCTCCAGCATCTGCTGCAGTGGCTGATGGGTGCTCCTGCTGGGCTCAAGATGAACCGGGCACTGGACCAGGTGCTGGGCCGCTTCTTCCTGTACCACATTCACCTGTGGATCAGTGAGTGCCTGATAAGGGTCAGAGGGTTGGCAGGGCTTCACATCCCAGGGACCCAGGCCTCAGCTGAGGAGGGTGGCAAGGCCCCACCTGTCCCTGTCCCTTTCATCCCCACTTCCTAGCCTCCCATGTGTGTCAAGCCCACTGTGCTGGGCTAGCTGCCCTGCCAAACATCAGGGCCAATGGTGTGGTCTCTGTGCTTGTGCTTTCTCAAGCCTCAGACATCTGTGTTTAGCAAGGAACCTGGGTACCCCAGGACCCCCAGGCACACCACTCAGGGCTGACCACCATCTCGCCAGGCTATATCCACCTCATGTCCCCATTCATCGAACGTATCCTGTGGCACGTGGGCCTCTCAGCCTGCCTGGGACTGACGGTTGCCCTGTCCATCCTGTCGGATATTCTTGCCCTCCTCACCTTCCACATCTACTGCTTCTATGTCTACGGCGCCCGGTGAGCATGTGTGTCCTATGTGCAGCCTTTGGGCCCAGGGCATTACAAGCTCTGGGGTGTGGTGAGGCACAGCCCTTATGGTGCCCATGTCCACAGACTGTACTGCCTGAAGATTTGTGGCCTGTCCTCTCTCTGGCGTCTGTTTCGGGGGAAGAAGTGGAACGTGCTTCGTCAGAGGGTGGACTCTTGCTCTTATGACCTGGACCAGGTGCCTGGGGTGTGCCTGGGAAGAGGCTCCCATCCTATAGCTGCCCCACTGCACTTGGGCTGGGGGAGGTACACACAGACGTCCCCCAGCCAGAGAGGACCTTGCTTCCAAGGCACAGAGCCTGGGGCCCATGTCCCAACTTCTGCTCCAGCTTGGTCCATTGGCTTGCTCATACCTAACACAGGAGAGCTTTCCTCTGATACTGTCTTGGCCATCTACCCCACTGGCTGGCCACCCCACAAGCCTAGCAAGTGTACACAAGGCCCATGGATGCTCCTCTCATGGTACTATGAAACAAGTCTGAGCAAGCTGTCCAGAGTTCACTTGGATGCTGTAACTGAAGTTACAGGACAGGTTGGGGTGGACATTTGGGTGTAGCCATTGCTAGAGGGGCCACTCCTGGCTGGGGCCTTGAGTTACCAGGTATACTATCCCCTTCTTCCTACAGCTCTTCATTGGAACCTTGCTCTTCACCATCCTGGTCTTTCTCCTGCCCACCACAGCTCTGTACTACCTAGTGTTCACCCTGGTGAGCCAAGCACTCATGTCATGGGGCCTCCAGTATTTGAAGTAGTCACTGCCAGCCTTAGTGAGCTGTGAGCCCTGCTCGAAGTTATGGGCCAGGCCATCTACCCCTACAGGCCATATTAACATGGCTGTTTTGGGCTTTGGGGAATATATTTTGGGCCCTAGAGTGGGTGGGGTCCTACCCTGGGTACCCCCTGCTCTGGGGCACTTGGCTGGGTGTAAGAGCGAGCAGAGCCCATGGTGAGCAGTGGGGACAGTCGGATCATGGAGGTCCTGAGTGCTGCACGGTGGACAGTGGGAGGCGAGCAGGGTCAGTGTGTGGGGCTTTGGGATTCATGGTCTCATGACCTGGTAGGAGGGCTGACTCCTTGGCCCCAGAGCAGGGGTGCTATCTCCCCTCCACTTCTTGGGTACCTGGACCAAAGGCAGGTTCTCTGCTCTCCTCAGTGTAGGACCCATGCTTTCCCCGGGGCCCTTGACCCTTGGTCACCCTTGGTCGTGTCCCAGGATCCCATCGAGTGGCTCTGTTTGAGAGCATGTCCAGCAAGGCTCTGGCCACAGCCCTGGCTCAGAGGTCCTGAGTATTGCCTCTGCTGCAGCTCCGGCTCCTGGTGGTCACTGTACAGGGCCTGATCCATCTGCTTGTGGACCTCATCAACTCCCTACCTCTGTACTCACTTGGCCTTCGGCTCTGTCGGCCCTACAGACTGGCGGGTAAGTTCTGTGTGGTGGACGGTCAGCCTCCTGACAGTTGGGAACATATATCCACTGGACCTTGCAAAAGTGCCTGCTATGCTGGTCACTTACCTGGAGGCAGTGGGATGTGGCATGGGTAGTTGGGGAAGGGAAACCTTCCTGCTCCCAGGCATCTGCTGGGCCAGCTGCCCTCATAAGGTGGGGTGGAAGGACCCCCTGAGGCTGTGGGTCAAGGCAGCTCTTGCTATGCCCTTCCTGTAATATCCTTGATTTGTTGTAGGTCTGTCCACTATAGCTTATGTGTTATTTGACTGTGGCTCAGAGAAGGTCCATCTCCACATGGTAAGGTGGGCCATGTGCCTGCTGGCACCCTTAGTCTTGGAGGGGCAGGCTAGGGAAAGGGCCACCAGGCTGGCCAGACCTATGTGACTGGAATGCCCTGCACTGTCTGGTTGGCATCCACCACCCCAGCTGTCTCCCTGGCATTCCTACTGCAGGTGGTACACCCATGGTGCTATGATAGCAGTTTGAAACTAGCTCCAGAGAGGAGGCTCTCCCTGCTAGTCAGGGGCTTTGAGCCCAGCCTGGGCAACTTAGTGAGAGTTTGTCTCAAAATAAAAAATTTTTTAAAAGGGTGGGGAAGTAGTGTGAAGGCCCTGGTTGGGGTCAGCTCATCTGGCTTGGGGGTTTGGATACATCAGGGGACCTCAGGATTTCCTGGCACAGCCACTGTCCAGCACCCATTCCAAGGTGACCATGCCCAAGTGGCCCTCTTAGCCAGCTCGAGCCACAGGGTATGGACATACCCTTTGAACCAACGTTGCCTCTTGTTCTGGAAACCCCAACCCCTTTTTTTCCCTTTTTTCTTCCTTCTTTTCCTCCTTTCCTTCACATAGTGGGATTGAACCCAGGGCTTTTGCACTGAGCTATTTCTCCAGAGCTGCAGAGCTATAGAGGCCATAGTATTGCCCAAGCAGCCAGCTCAAAAAAGAGGCAGGTTGGAAGGACAGGGGACAGAGATTGCTGTGTGCCCAGGCAGGCCTGCCACCACCTGGGTGCCACACAGAGGAAGGGGCCTTTGCTGCCAGAGGTCACTGCCTACAACATCCTCTGCTAACCAGCAGGAGGACAATAGGGCTGTCTTCAGGGCTCTGTGGGCACTGGATAGGGCTGCCACCCTCCCCTTCAGTATCTTGTTCTCCTTGTAGCTGGTGTGAAGTTCCGTGTCCTGGAGCATGAGGCAGGCAGGCCTCTCCGCCTCATGATGCAGGTAAGACCTCTCATGCCCCTCCCACTGCTCTGCCTGTGTTTGGGGACAGATGGGGTCAGTTGGTGTGGAGTCCAGGTGCCTGGGGCCAAATGCAGACAAGGGGCCCAGTGGAGCTGAGGAGTTGGGTCCACAGAGGAAGCCCCCAGGTTTCTGGGCACCATGACCCATTGTGCCTGGGGCCCCCTTTAGGGTTTGAGTGCTCATGGTGGTTTGCATGGCTGAAGCCTAGCCCAGTTCATGGGTGGGGTCCCTTTGCCACAAATCAGCCACCCTGGGCTGCCTACTTGGCTCCATGTCCCAACTCCTGCCCTAGGCCCCATAGGGCTTAAGTTCCTGGTGGAATAGAATCAGCTTAGCAAAGGCTTCAAGACCTGCAGGCATTCCCCACTGGGCCCAGACTATTCCATTCCATCTTAAACAGTCCTGGGTGCTTGGTCCTTATGGGAGGGAGCAAGACAAAGCTTTGGGTATCTTGCTAGGTTGCAGGTTGGCTTTTGGGCCAAGTCCATCCTGCCTTAGATGTTGAGGCAGCCAGGGACTCGGTGATCTTCCCCTGCCCGAGGCACCTGGGAGCTGAATGAATCTCGGGCCAGAGCATATACATCCCTAGGGGACATGTAGCTCCCACCCCACCTCACTTGCCTTAGGAACATGTAGCTGTCCTTGGGGGTTGGCCAGCTGTGTGCTGGGCAAGAGCACGTCTGGGGCAGTTAGCCCTATCCCACAGTTGCCCAGCTCAGGGACTCCCCAGAGGGCCAGCCAGGCACATGTGCCTGCACCCAAGTCCTTTCTCTGCTGATCACCATACTAACTGCCATTCTGTTCTTCCAGATAAACCCCCTGCCCTACAGCAGGGTGGTGCACACCTACCGCATGGCAAGCTGTGGCTGCCACCCCAAGCACTCTTGGGGCTCCCTGTGCCGCAAGCTGTTTTTTGGAGAGCTTATCTACCCTTGGAAGCAGAGAGGGGACAAGCAGGACTGAGGTGCCTGGCAGTAGCCTGCCCAGCACCACTGCACAGCCCACCATCACACCTCTCAGTCAATGTGTCATTGAGCTTGGGGTTCACGTGCTCTCGAGGGTGGGCAGGCTTTGTTCCAAATTCCTATCCTGATTCCAGGGCCCTTATCAGGCCATGCCAGGCAGCCTACTGCCAGCACACACTCCATCCCTCTCTAGCACCATTGGCCTTGGGACCTGCCTCTAGTGTGCTGTGATCGCCACACTGCCTGATTCCAGCATCCCCCAGGTCTGCCTCTGGAGTGGGCTGGCAGGTCCCCCTTTGGCTGTCCCCTAGTGGTGAGTGGAGGGCTGCTTCCTGGGATGCACTCCTGGCTTCTGGTATCTTCTAGCTGCTGAGCAGAATGTCCCCACCCCCACCCCCTGGAGGTTGAAGCAGCTGCTGACCTCCAGCCCCAGCGAACCAGAGCTCTTGCACCCTGAATTGAGCAGGGCTTCTCTGTCGGAGCTCCCTGAGTGGTCAAGGACCCACAGTGCTCCCACAGTATGGGTACCCCTGAGGTATTATGGCTCTCTACCTGGCTGTCAGTCAGCAGGCAATGATTGAGGCCCTAGGGAAGGAGGATAAAGGTGCCCAATGGTGCAGAAAGGTCTGTGCTGTGGCTAGGAGGGAACAGCAAGCCCTGCTGGTCTCTGGGGCACTCGGGACTGTCCACCTCAATCTATCTACTGCCCACACTCCTTGCCTCAGGCCACACCAACTCTAAGCACCCAGTGAAGGATGTCAACAGGATGGGTCCTGACCTGCCTTTTCCTTTTATTAAAATAAAACTTCAGATGTGTTTAGAGTGCCAGTTGGCCTTTGTCATCCTATATGTGCATCAGGTCTAAGGTGAACCCAGTGGGTACAAATGCCTCCTAGAGGACTTGGGTTTGCTCTGAGGTGATTGCCATGGCCTGCTTCCTGTTTCAGGACCCTGCACAGTGTTGGTAGGTGGGGAGTATGCCCATGCCCTTTAAGTCCTAGCCCAGGTAGATGGCCCCTCACAGCCTCTCCTGGCATATAGGGCTGTCATCTGGGACAGGGTAAGCCACCCCTGGCTCTGAATGTATTTGGGCTCCATAAGGGCAAGGAACTCCCTGAACTGAGCTGACCCTACCTGTCCTGCATCCTCCGGGGGCCCTGGGGGCCTCTCACCTGTGGTCCTGCTTATAGAGGAGGGCTGGAGCCCAGAGAGGCTTGTTAGCAGCTCCCTGGCCTGGGTTTCTACTCAGTGGAGACTGGCTGCAGAGCACTGAAGAGCCTCTTGTGGAACTGTGTTCACTCAAGAGCCTGCTGACAGTGGCCTGATACCTGCATTGCTGGGGTGCCACCTTCCATTTGGGTACCATGTCCAGCTCCTAGCCCCAAGTGCAGAGGCCTCTGACCTGGGCTTCCTAGCAATCAAAAGCTGGGGCTAAGTCACTCATGGGCTGCTGCACATCTTGCCTGTACCCCTCCCTGCTGTTCTGCCACCATTACTCTTCTAGCTGCCTGTCCCTGCTCTTTACCCCTTCTCCTGGCGTTCTCACCAGGCAAAGGTCCTGTCCCTCAGCCCAGGCCACTGCTCTGTGTGGCCTTGTCACGGGACTTACCTGGCAGCTGTCATCTCCTGTACAGGGTACCAGGCTGCTTATTTCCCAAGAGCTAGCCCGGGCCTGGCATCAGAGCCAGCTGAGGGTATACTGGTCACATCAGCTATTTGCAGCCACTGAGATGCCACCTGCCAAGGAATGTCCCTTATATGGATTTGTCTGATAATTTTCATGATGAGATACCACTGCTTATGTGTTTGTGGCAGGACAGCATATAAGTCAGCATATGATGCTGTCCTTGGCATCATCTTGGGAGGCATGCAAGGTCCGTTTGTCTATGCTAGGTGTTATCAACTTGATCTCGTGGCCAAGGTAGCTGTCCCCTTGTATTTTTCTTTAGTTTCTTGAGGTGTAGTTCAGGCTGGCTTTGAAATTAATTTGTAGCACAGGCTGGCCTCAAACTGGCAGCAATCCTCACTCAGCTTCCCAAGTGCTAGGATTATAGGCATGTGCCACCAAACAGGGACCTTGTTAATAGTAACTTATCTAGAGACCCTTGTGAACAAGTGAACAGCCTGTCCCTCATTGTCTTCTCACCACTAGCTGCATCATCTACCAAGATTTTGGCTCTGCCCATTCATAGGATGTTCTATGCCCTCCCCTTGGTACCAGGCCAGGGTGGGGTCTGGAGCAACTGCAATCAGGTGCTACCTGAGCTTCCTGGGCACAGGACTTCAGGGGCCAAGGTCTGTTTGCCACAGTGGGTGACCAAAGAACCTTCTGAGGGTTTGGATATACCACAAAGGTATTGCCTTAGTACTTTTTCTATTGCTATAACAAAATACTTGAGACCAGGCAGTTATGAAGAATAGAGGTTTACTTGACTTATGATTCTAGAGACTGAAAATCTAAGAGCATGGTGTTGGTGTCTGAGGAAGTCCTTGTTGCATCATAGCATAGTGCCAGGCATCACATAGCAAGACAGAGCAGGGGTGCCTGTTCAGGTCTCTTTCCCTTCCAAAGCTGCTAATCACCATGGGGGCCCCACCATCATGACCTCATCTAATCCTAATTGTCTCCCAAACATTCCACCTTTAAACACCATTAATATGAATTTGGGGATTAGGTTTCTTTTGTTTGTTTGTTTTGGTACTGGGGATCGAACTCAGGACCTTGTGTTTGCAAGGCAGGAGGCATCACCACTGATCTAAATCCCCAGCCCAAGGTTTCTTTATTTTTTGTTGGTACATTTGCAATATATTAGTGAATATACTCATTGTAGGAAGTTGGTACATATATATATCACATCTTAGTCGTTTTTATTCCCCTTCACCACCCCACTCCCTCCAACCCTAGATCCCCTTTTCATTCCACAAAAGGCCTAACTCCCTATTTTCTGTTATCTTTTATTTTGCTTCTAAAATTATTTATACTTTGGTTTTCTCCTGTAAGAAATGATTTGATATTTAACTTGTCTCTTAATTTGCTTAGCATTATGGTCTTGAGGTGCATCCACTTTTCTACAAATGACTCAAATTTATTCTTTTTTTTTTTTTTTAGTACCAGGGATCGAACTCGGGTCCTTGTGCTTGCGCAGCAGGTGGCAAAACTACTGAGCTAAATCCCCAGCCCTCAAATTTATTCTTTTTTTAAAAATTATTATTAAATTCTTTTATTGGTACATTGTAGGTATACAACACAATTACATTTCTCATTGGGAACTGTACCTCAAATTTATTCTTTATGGCTGAGTAGGATTAGGTTTCCAACTTGTGAAATCGTGGCCAACATGTTCAAACCACAGCAGGTATCCTGGAGGGAAGGGACAGACTGCCAGACCTCTCCCTTTTTTTCTCCAACCTCTTACCTTAACAAGGGCTGCCGGAATCTAGACCCTAGTCTTTGCTCAGAACCAATGGGCATGAGACAGGGGAGACTCAGAGTCCACTGTTGCTCAGGCCTGCACAACCCTGCAAGGAGGCGCCCAGGCTAGGGTTCACCTAGGACTTCCAAGTGGAGGTCTGTTTCTTTGGCTGCTTTGCCCTTGGTCTGAGGGCCCAGTGACAGGGAAGGATGCCCTCTCCCTTGCTGGACCAGGGCCACTCAGTGGAACCCAGTACATGCTTGCAACTGTGTGGGAGGCCAACTCCTCCACCCACCAGCCCTCCTTCCCCTTCCTGCAGCAAGGTTCTCACACATGATTACCCTAACTAGTAATTATCACTAAAGATTGCCAGAGCCACAACTTTGCACAAAGGCCACCACAACCCTGTACTAAAAGTGCTTCTGCAAGGACGGTTGCCTAGCAACTGTTAAACCTCTAATGCTAGACTTGTTATTAATCCTTGTGGCCAAGGATTATTATTTCAAAATATTTTATGTAATCCTCAATTTTGCTTTTAAGAGCTTCCCCTTGCCTCAACATTTTTTTTTTTTTTTTGCAGTACCTGGGTATTGAACCTAGACTGTTTGCATTGAGCTACATCCCCATCCCATTTTAAAAATTATTATTTTGGGCCAGGGATTTAGCTCCTTGCCTGCCTTGAAAGGGCAAGGTTCTGAGTTTGATCCCTGGTACCAAAAAGAAAAAATTTATTTTGAGACAGGGTCTTGGAAAATTGCCCAGGTTGGGCTTAAATTTGTTTGTTTGTTTTGAGACAGGGTCTATGTAGTTCAGGCTGGCCTTGAATTCACAGTGATCCTCCTGCCTCAGCCTCCCCAGTGCTGTGGTTACAGGTGTGCACCACCATGCCTGGCTGGGCTTGAATTTTTGATCCTCCTGCCTCAGCCTCCTGGAGTGCTGGGATTAAAAGCATGTGCCACAACCTTTTTTGAATATATTCATAGTTTACTATGGCTATATATTCTCTTCCTTTCCTTCCTTCCTTCCTATACTCATGGTGTGTGTTGTGGGTGGGACCTCTCTAAATGTAACCATGTCTGCTGTGACCCAGTGTCTGAGGAATGGCCACTCCTGGGCAGAAGACATGGCCTGAGGAGAGGCACAGGCAAAACCTAAGCTTCTTTAGGGATTAAGAGTGAGCTCCAGATCTGCCTGGAGGTCTCAGCATGGGTCTAGCCACTTAGATCCCGGAGGCCTGGATAAAAGGGTACCAGGAAAGCCTCCTCCTGAAACTCAGCTGCTCACTCACCAGAAGCTGCCACTCATCAGAGGAGCACCTGTGAGGAACCTCCCCAAGCACTGCATCCAACCAAACTGCAGCATGTGCATGGGTGGATGGTCAGGGAAGGCCATGTTTTCAGCCTTAGGAGTGGGGAGTGTCAGTTTGGTGCTGCCCACCAGGGGTCTTCTCTGTGTGAAGATTGCATGCTGCTGGAGTAATAGCCCGGGTTCAGTATGGGAGGGAAGATGTTCTTGTCAGGCACTGAGAGGTGTGGCAGTAGGTGCATCCTTAGCAGCCAAACACATGGTCACTGAAGTGACATGACTGCTTCTGCACAGATCTGTTTTGCCAGGAGCCATAACTTGCCTGTGCTCACATGCAGCAGCACTATCTGGTCCCCAAGGGATTACATTTGGCTCAGCTTTGACAATTTTTTGTTGTTATGACATAAGAGATTGAATCCAGAACCTCGCACATACTAAGCAAGTGCTCTGCCACTGAGCTACATCCTCCAGTCTTTATTTTGAGACAGGGTCTTGGTAAGTTGCCTGGCTATTCTGGAACTTTCCAATCTCAGTCTCCCATGTAGCTGGTATAGGTGTCAGCTGCCACACTCGGCTGTGTGTTAGTTTCAACAGCTTTACTGAGGCATCATATATATCATAAAATCCACCCATCTTGATGGCACAATTAAATAATTTTCAGTAACTACAAATGGCATAACCGTGACCATCACCCTCGGCTCTGCAAAAAATCCTGTATCTGTTAAGCAGTCATTCTCCCTTACCTTTCCCAACCTGGCAACCACTGATGTACTTTCTATGGATTTGCCATTCTGGAAACCATATAAATGGAATCATATAATATGAATGTTTCCAATGTTCATCCATGTATGAATACTTCACATCTTTATATGTGTAATATATTCTATTAAGTGGACATACCTCATTTGTTTATCCATCCAGTTGGATGTTCAGGTGGTTTCTTACACATTTGGCCTACACGTTTCTGGGTGAACAGGTATGAATTCCCGCATGGTGAGGGATTCTGTGCTTAACTTGAATTATTGGCTCGAGCGATTATGTTTTCACAAAGGCTATCAATGACCCCGGACGGGAGTCGACCGGGCCGGCGGTGCATCTGTGGCGAGATACTGGCTTCTCAGGCCCGCACCCCAACTCGTCCGTCCGCCTGTAACCAGCACTACTTAGCTGCGCCTCGCCAAGTCCCCTCAGCAGCCGTCCGCTCCCAGGCGGATGCCGGACGGAAGTCCCGTCCCTGACCCGCAAACGACGTGCCTAAGATGCTGCGTCCAGGTCCTCAGGCGGCCCTTTCTGGGTTTGTGCGAGAGCCGCCACCGCCGTCCCCTAGTAGGCCTCCACCAGGTGCCGTCGCAGTCCTGCATCCTGTTGGCTGAGGAAAGTGACCGTGTGCAAATAACGTGGCGTTCCAGCTCCTGATTGGCTAGCGCTAGGAAAGGAGCGGGGTTAGTGGGCCGTGACGGTGTGCGGATGGCCCAATGGCTCGTCAGCAGTGGCCAATCGTGACGGTAAGGGTGAGGACGAGAGAAAGCGCAGGCCAGTGGGCGGGGCTGTCGATGGCTGGGGTGCGGTGCAGCAAGCGGCTGACCGGGGTGATAGTAGATCTGACGGACGTGTAGGTAAGCCAATAGTTTCGGAAAAGCCGGAACCCTCTGGCCAATGGCGGCGTAGACGAGGCATGGCCCTGAAGGCCTCGCAACGCTGTGTGGGAAATGGGGGAGGCGGGGAGAACGTAACTGATGGGAGAATGGGCCAACAGCCGCGGGAAAGTAGGCGGCTCGCTACCAATGGCGCCCGGAGAGGGCAGAGTGGGGCGGTTATGGGGCGTGGCGACCGCAGTATGCGCGGCGCTGTGTGGGAAAGCGTGGGGGTGGGGCGGCTGTGACGGACGGACAGCCAGGCCAATGGTTCTGGGAGGGCGGGCGGCGGGCGGCCAATGTTGGCCGCGCGGCCGGGGGCGGGGTGGCGGGGCTGTGCGGTGCGGTGCGGGAAACGGCGGGCGGCCGCGGTGAGGCTGAGGTGAGGTAGGCGGAGGTCAGGAAGGCGCGCCGTGGGCGGGCGGGCGCGCGCCTGCACGTCACGCTGTGCGCCGCTCACTTGCCTCCGCCCGCAGGTGGGGCGGCGGCGCCCTTGGGCCGCGGCACGGCGGCTGGAGGATGGGCACCCAGGGAAGCCCAGTGAAGAGCTACGACTATCTGCTCAAGTTCCTGCTGGTCGGCGACAGCGACGTGGGCAAGGGTGAGATCTTGGAAAGCCTTCAGGACGGCGCGGCCGAGTCCCCGTACGCCTACAGCAACGGTAGGCCCGGGGGGCGGCGGGGCCTCGGACCCTTTGCCCTGGCATGGCATCCCTGCCGGAGCTCCGGGGTCGGCCTGAGCGGTCGAGTCCGACTGACCAAGATCCAGGCTGTGGGGCTCTGGGGGTCTGGCAGAACTAGGGTGGATCGCGGCCGGCAGCGCACGGAAGGCAGGGTCCTTTCCTACTGCCCCCCTCCGAGTCTTGCTCAGGGAACCTACTTGTGCCAGGAGAAAACACCCCGACAGCGATGTTATTAAACATTCCCTTTAACTTCCGGGTGCATGGCTCAAATACATAAGGTAGGTTGCATCACCAGCGCTTGCCTGAGCTTGCCTCTTAATTTCAGTAGTTAAGGTAAAAACGAAGTTAACAGTCGGTGGGATTGGGTTCCAGGGTGCACGGGTGTATCCTTAGAAGACCCAGCGGATCCCCTGATACCAGAGGAACTGGCGGCGTGTCAGCATCTAGTCTCTCCAGGCCCTTGGGCGCTCTGAAGTGCTGTCACACCTGACTAATTTACTTCTTCTGTCCCTGGCCTCTGTCTCCTCTCTTCTTTGTTTCTTGGGCTCTTGTCAGTCCTGTCTGGCTGCTCTGAGCATTTACTGTTTGCTAAGTCGTACGCCTTTGGGTGTTGTATCTCCTACCCTTTGGTTTTAGGACTTGTCAAGGGTATTGATCACCTAAACTGATCCAGGGCCCTTCTTCCTGAGCAGGAGTGCTGGATCTGCTGCCACCTACTCTTAGTCTCAGCCTAGAGTAGATGTCTCTAAAAGCGCAGAAGAGGAAGAGCCATGGGTTTGGTTTTAGGTGGGGGAGGGAAAATGTGAAGCCCACAGAGATGTGGGGGCCCTCACAGACCACCTTGACTGGCACTTGACAGACACTCCCAGGATGATACTCCTGGTCAGAGGGTGCATCCAGTTCCTTTTCCAGTGGTAGTATGGCTTCCTGGTGCTAGACCCCCCTGAGCAGCTGAGAAAGGGGCTGGGTTCCTTCGGGGTTTAGTGTTTTCCTGGTACTTAACTGGTGCTGCTGCTTTTTTTTTTTTTTTTTAGGGGTTTTTTTTTTTTTTTTTTGTACTGGGGATCGAACTCAGGGCCTTGCAGTTTCGAAGGCAGGTGCGGTGACACTGAGCTAAATCCCTGGCCCTTTTTTGTTGTTTTTGAGACTTGTAGTTTTTGAGGGTCTTGTTATGTAGTTCAGGCTGCCCTTGAACTCACTATGGTAGTCCAGGCTGGCCTGGAACTCCTGGTGATTCTCCTGGGTGGTAAAATGCCTTGGTTTTGTTGTTGTTGTTGTTTTTTGAGACAGGGTCTTGATACATAGTTGAGGCTGGCCTTCAACTCACAGCAGTCCCCCTGGCTCAGCCTTCCAAGTGTTAGAGTTACAGGTGTGTGACACTACACCCAGTTTAACTGATGCTTGTGAAGGTCAGCTCAGCCTCTTGGCCAGCCCCACGAGCTTCAACTGTGAGCACATAGCCAGTAACTGGAGAGGTAGGACCCTTTTTCTGCTGTTCCTTTTGTCTATCTGCCGTGCATTGCCACACTTCCTACAACAGACTGACTCAAGTTGGACCAATCTTGCATAAAACATGAAGATCTACCTGAGGTAGTGGAGATGGGAGGCTCATAGGAACTGGTACCACAGAGTGCCATCTGCCAGAGATGATGTGGGAAGCTGGCTCTTAGACAGATTTTGTGGGCTGGCAGGGCCAGGATACATATGAAGGTTCCCATATGATGCTGATGTCTTGCAACATCAAGCAGAGAAGGCTGAATGTCTGGGCAGCAGCAAGACATTCCTCACGTTCAGGGATTCTTGGAGTTGAGATATGCACAGCATAAGGGTTGGGGGTTTGTGGTTGGGGCATCACCTCACTGAGCCTGGAAGCCCTCTTAGCAGGGTGAAGTTGGTGGGTCTGAGAACACTTGGACTCCCTCAGAAAGACCACTGGGTTTTGGAAGCTCTGGAACAGTTGGTTCTTTGTTTGTTTGTTTGTTTGTTTTGGTACCTGGGATTGAACTCGGGACCTTGCACTTGCAAAGCAGGTGGCGGAACCACTGAGCTAAATCCCCAGCCTGAGATTCAGCACAATGTGAAGAAATCAGTAGTCAGGAGCTTTGGAGTTTTGGTTCTCTTACAAAGAATAGGTAAATATTTCATTTTCTCCATTATTAAAAGCCCTCAGAGCCAGGCATGGTGATATATGCCTGTAATCCCAACTTCTTGGAAGACTGAGGCAGTTTGATCTCAAGTTAGACCACCCTGGGCAATTTAGTGAGACCTTGTCTCAAAACAAAATGAATGCTAAGGATGTAGACCAGTTGTAGAGTGCCCCTGAGTTTGATCCTCAGTATTTATGTTTCCAGTTTCTTATTTTTGGCCTAAACTTTCATGTTCCTAATCAGGTGGCAGGGAGGTCCCCATTTGGTGAGAGGCATGCTGCTTCAGTGAAGCCCAGACCACTTTTTTTGTTTGTTTTATTTTTTGAGACAGGATCTTGTTATGTAATTCAGGCTGGCCTTGAATTCATAATGTAGCCCAAGCTGGCCTTGAACTCATGGCCGTCCTCTTGCCTCAGCCTCCCAAGTGCTGGGATCACAGGCCTGCAACAGCATGCCCGACTAGGACCACTTCTTGGTCACAGCCAGATCACTTACTTGCCTTGAAGTCTTGTCTAGCTTGTTCTCAGACAGGTCCATGAGTTAACGTCACTCTCTCCAGCTTCACAAACACGCGTTATCAAAATGATCTTTTATTAGCATTGACACGTGAAGTGGTGATGATGTGACGTTGTGATCATGTGCCCAGCACTTGCAGGAGCCATGGTTTTGGATCTCTGTGGGGGTGGAAACCTTCTCAGGGGCTTTGGTTTCTTATTCTTTTAGGTGCACAGTGGTTTAGGGTTATGATCCAGAGCAAAAGCATTGCAGATTCTTGGTGATGAGAGCTTCCAGGAGGAAGATGTGCGCTTTCTGTGAGCAGCTTCTCCTTACGAACACACTGGGTAGTGGATCTTGCCTCTGCCTCTGAGGTGTGGCCTTTGGATAGTCAGTCTGTGTTGGCCCCAAGGCAGTTTGCTGGGTGCTCACCCTCGAGCCCAGGAAGCATCCTAGTGTAGTACACAAACCTGTCCTATTTTATAATTTTTTTTCTGAGATATGTTTCTCTTCATAATCGCGGCTGAGCTGGAACTTGTAATCCTCCTGCTTCAGCCTTCCGAGTGCTAGGATCACAGGCATGCACCAACATGCCTGGCTTATGTATGAATTTTGAACATCCTCAATTAAGACAATTACATCCTCTTGCCCCAGTCCTACAAAGCTTCCATGAGCGTTAGTGGCCTTCAGGAACATGCAGCAGGGTTTATATGCCCACAACCTGGAAGATTTGTGTGAATTAATGAGATGAATCCAAGGGCACAACTTCATTTCGCCCCTTGCTCTTTTCAGAGTCAGTGTTAGTTGAAGCTGCTGAGAAATGCCCTGTACTTTAAGCCCAGGGAGTTGGGAGGGAGAGAGGTTATTGTGGGTGAAGCAAGGCTGACACGTAGGTTTGCCATAAATGCTGGGGTCTGATAGTTATGGATATTTATAAACCAGATGATACTGTGCCATAAGAATGAGGATACTAAGTGCCTATGTCCCCAGGGTGCTGTGAGCTCCCTGCGGGAGTTAGGGCCACATTAGTGACCCAGAGGCCAGTTCAAAGAGCATATTGCTCCTCAGCTCCATGTGTTTCTTTTTTTTCTTTTTAAAAAAATTTTATTCCATTCCCCCCCTCAAGCCCTCTCCCCTCCCCATGTACAAAAGCTTTGTTTCCATTTTTTCCTTCTATTTTCATAATTTCCATGTGTTTCTTTTCATCTGACCTGAAGTTAATTTCTCTCCTAAGGGCAGGTTGAAGGAGAAACTTGAAGCACTTCTCTGTGTTGTATTTTCTTGGGTCAGAACACATTGTTAGCATGAAACTTGCACACAGAGGGTGCTAACTAAATGTGCATTTAACATGAGTGAACAGACTGTGTACAGCTTTCCTGTACTTACTTGGGGCTGGTCACACAATTACCACGGTAGCCCCTCAGTCCTTTCTTTTCTCTGTATGTGACTGAACACTAAGGTCTAGATTTCTTTCTGGATTTCATATGGTGATTGAAAACAGGGTCTGTCATTACTATTTGATGCTAGGTTTTTTGGGCAGGATGTTGACCACTGGAGGCTCAGGAGTGATCACCATGGTACAGCTAATTCCTCCAGTGTAGTGTGTGATATATACTAGGCACACTGTTGAGTGTCTCTATTCCTTATTTAATCTTCATACCACCCTGTGAGGGAGGCACTATCATCCCTGTTTTACAGTTCAGAGACAGAGGCTTGGACATGCAGAGATAGCTGCTGTCCAGGGCAATGTAGTCACTGGGCTTCTGCTTCTAGCCTTTTTTGTTTGGAGGGAACCTCACAGACCTTGAGTGAAACAGCAGGAAGGGTGTGATTCTTTTCTCCTCACCCTTGTTTTTGTCTCCCCTCTGCTGCACCTGCTGTTCCTGCACACACTGCTGGAGACCTGAGCCCTAGAGGACTTTCTGCCCAACCCCAGCCAGCCTCTGGGAACCTCTGTCAGGAGTTGGCTTACGCGCATGTGCATACACGCACACACTAGGGGCTAAACCGAGGGCTTTGTGCATGCTAGGCAAATACACTAACTCTAGCTCCAGCTCTAACTCAGGAGTTGGCCCTTTTTTTTTTTTTTTTTTTTTGGTACCGGGGATTGAACTCGGATCCTTCCACCTGTGATAGTTGGCCCTTTTTGATTGTCATTATAAGTGACTCTTGGCAGGCCCAGCCCTTCAAATGTAGACTTGTCAACTCTGCTTCCAGCAAAGGATGCTGGCCCCCTCCCCAGAGCCCACTAGGCTGAGAGTAGCTCTGTGTCTTTGTTGAGGCCTCTGTGCCTCTGGACTCCATTCCTGCCCTCTGTGCATTTGTTCATGTCCTGCC